GCGCATTGGTTGCGTCCATGTTGTAGGTGTTCAATAAGCACTTTGAACATTTCTCCTAGCCGCCAACCAGTAAATTGGACCTCTTGACAAATCAGCAGCTTCATCCACATCTACATCAGCGTAACGACGACTTCAGCTAACTCGCATAACAATTTGTAGAAAATTTACGTAACTGCGTGTCGCAAAAAACGCAACGAAATTGGGCAGTGGCCGCGTTTTGTTTTTATATATTTGTTTTTGTTTTTGTTTTTGTTTTTTCCCAAGACGTTGGCAATCGCTCAAACAGCCGACTTGCCCACCTCTTTGCGCTCCAATTCGACAAAAGCGGCTACCACTTCGCTGTCTCGCTGTCTTGCTGTCCGTCGCACTGCATTTATATTTGGATGACTATGTACTTCTTTGGCTTAGTCCAACATTTTGCACAAGGACGGCTTTAGCAATGACTTTCCCATTTTGGATTGGTTTTAAAAAAAAAAAACTAGCTGCGACTAAAAGCAATACAGTGGATCTAAATTTATAGAAACAGTTCAAAATTAAACAACATTTAGCATTGTTACATATTTAAGAAACGCTTTACATTTTGGGTTCAGTTTCTTATTTGCAATGAGATAGAGGAAATTCAAATTTCGTAAATGGAACTGTAAGCGCAACTAAATGGTTCAAAATAAACATTCTAAAATAACGAAAGTTTGCAAATAATGCGATGGAGAAGTGTGGCGGCTTTCAATTTGATTTTTTAGTGACGACTTTTGTGCTGAATTTTCCGTATAAAAGCAAAGAGCCACATTTTGTTAGTCACCTTTAAGCAGTCTCTGCTGTAGTTGGTCAATCGGAGAGGTCTTTTAATTAAGTCAACTGCAATTGCAGCCATTCACAAGGCGCGCCAATGATTGCTTGCTTTAAAGAGGCAATGTGTCTTAAGTTTTTTACATTTTTAATTGAAGTTTTTGGACTGGCCGCGTCGTAAACGATGCGCATTTATCTTAAAATTCTCACTTAAGCTGATTGGCAAATTGCTTTCAAAGGCATTTAAATTGAATGTGCGAGACGCTGCCGTTGCTTAAGCAGCAGACTGAGCTTCGAAAACAATGGAAATTGGCGTTTATTGCAATTTTTTATCGCTGTTATTGCTAATAGGGTATTAGGGCACTGTTTGCTCATTTACGCTTTGTCGAGAGCAAGACATAGAGTGTGGGGACGGCAAACACAATGCGACAATTGTAACGACCTTGACGCAATTACCAAGCCGTAAAGGTGGCGTTCCGATTCGTTGACTGCGTTTACTTTGATTCGGCTTCAAAGCAGCTGCAATTCGCCTTTTATGCTCGGGCCGCCCATACTGGAAGCCAAGTGGACCCATAATTGCTGGCAATTGAATGACAGCAACAATTGTGGGCAACGCGCAAGCTAATGGCGACAAAGAGCTACTGAGGCTTTTGACGGCGCCTTACGGTAGTCAATACTTGGCTTGATCGATAGACAAACAAAACTGAAAAATAGCTGTTGCATTTTAAATTCTGATTTTATGGCTTAGCCAGCTCATTGGATGACCAAATGGGCTCAGTGTGCGCGCATGCATAAGCAGGTGAAAGTCAAGTCGATTCTGATGCGATCTATTAATGCCTTCCTCGGCCCCCTGACCACAGACCGTCGACCAATGCGATGGAACAGAAACAAAGGCCAGACAATATAATGCCTGCTGTTCGACACCTGCGGCCATCAAAAGGTTTCGCTCAGATTCTTTTGAGTCGGGTCTGAAGTAAAAGTAAAAGCCCAAAAACCAAAAACCAAAAACCAAAAATCATGCGTGCTGACCTCAAAGTCGGTGTGCCTAGTATGCAAACTGTAAAACAAGAAGTATATATACATATAGTAATATATTATGCGCTTTCAGCTGTCTGCTCTGTTGTTGTCCGACTGCAACACTATCGACCCTCTTTGTTTTAATCACCATAATTAAGAACAATGCGGGCTAATCAGCGAAGCAACTGCGTTGCCTCTCTCTCTCTCTCTCTCGCTGCCCATCCAGTCTAGCTTGAACAATAACTAATGCAACTAAGATGTACTTAGATAGTGAGAGCCAGCATTGGAGCCAAAATCAGAGGAAGTCAGAGCCAACCTCAACTTACTTTCTTTGGCAGCGAAATTGCAGCGAAATTAACTCTACGCGTTGTTATGCTGATTGATCATATTACACGTAGATTGACGCTGAATGGTGCGGACATGTTGATTTCTTATTTTTACGGCACTTGAAGAAACCACAACCGAAAGTTGTACGCAGTCGTTAGAATTTATAACTCGCTGGACTCGAAAGTATGTTATAGACACGCTTCATTGTTGCTGTAATCCAACTTAGTCGGAGTAGACTTCAGACTTAGCTCGTCAACTCTTTTTTCACCGTCTCCACCAATTGGGTCACACATTGTGGTTAGCCATTATGTGTATGTATGTATGTATGTTTGTATGTATGTATTTGTGTGTGCGTTTGTCTATTTAACACAGTTTCTTATTGCCTTTGGCAATTTGCATGCGTCAAGATTTGAAGCGTGTGATATTCTAATTGTAAGCCGGCACAGCAACAACACACAGTTTCCCAATGGCTTTTTAAAAATAGAGCATTGCTATATTGCTGAACCACTTCGATGTTATCGCAGATGTAGTTTTGGGCGCAAGTTTGCTGCTTGAGTCTTTCGTTCTAAGCCATTATTTGATTGATGTGCTTCGAAATGGAGCAAATGAAGTGGTTTAGCTTGTTCTCATGATTAGTATTTGTTATCTCTGTACAAGATGTGGCTTAGATGTGGCTTAGATGCTGGAGCCTAACTAATGGCCATGAAGGGGCAAGAACTGTGTTGTTTTGCTTAATCCATTACCATGCTTCATTTAAAACTTTATGCTCATTTGCCACTTAATTATAGGGTAAATTTGTTGAACATTGTTGCGGACATTTTTACGCATAGTTAAGCGCATTTCATAGTTTGCTAACCAATTTTTTAAAACTAAACATCACTTGCTACTTTTCTTTTCAACTTTGCCCGAGCGGAAAGCTGTAAAATTTTAACCTAACCGACGGCTTTGTTTTATTTATTTGGCTTTTGGAACAACTAGCATAAAACTTAAATATTTGCCATGTCGTGCATTGTAAGCCCAAGGCTGGAGAAGCACGCGAGGTCATTTTGCCGCCACATTAAATGGAAATGCAATTGTTTAAACAAATTTGTTGCTTCGCTCTGTACTCTGTTTGCTCTTTTTACAGGGCACGGTAATTTAATTTATTCAGTTGCACGCCTCATGCGCCCATTTGTTTATTTTATTTGTTTAGCTTTTAATTTGTTTGAGTGTGTGTTGGTTTTTTCACCTCGAAAGTGTGTCACATGAATCTAACACATTTGTTACAATACTATACATATATATGTGTGTATCTGTACTCTAAATACTTAAAGGCAACGTCACAGTTCAGTGCCTGCATTTGAAATGAGTGTAAACGGTTTACAATTCAAGACTCTACGCTTGAGGAAATCATCACATCTTTCATAAAAATAAATACGTAAAGCCGCTTAAGCCACCTGCCCATACAGTTTTAAGCACATTGAGGTGAAGGGACGGATATCTGAAGCAAAGGTTAAAGCACTGTAGAACTATTGATACTGTGAATGATTTTGGATAATGCGACATGAATCCTAAACATTGATTTATTTCAAAAATTATTAAGAAGATATAAATGCATTTGATTTTGTCGAATTATGGACCACTGCACGTGCAATTTTTAATCTGTAGTAGATTGTCAGACCCTTTACCATTATCAGTAGGATATAAATTAGAAAGCTATTAACATAACAAAACCCTTAATTATGAATTAAAAAATTATATATTATACTTCCTTAGATATATTACGACTTACTTAGTGCTCTTTGAGCTTAAAAATGTTTATTTCTGTTTTGATCATTTCCAACTCCGACAAAGAAGAACATTATTGACGTCAAATTTCTTTCTGTGTTTTGAGCTAAATGGGTTAGCAATAATTAGTTATGTGATACTTGATATGTAATACTTGTAGTATAGCCAATACCGAGGATAATTAAAGGGTGCGAAACTAGGAATCATTTTATAATTCTTGCTAAATCCATTCATTTGATTGAAAACAGTCCCCTTCGAAGTACAGTAATTTGTGGGGCTTAAAAGTATTTCGAAGGGAGTGTCCTAGCTTGTTTGCCTAAATGACCTTAAGGAGCTTGGATGGCTTCTACATAATGCATTCCTTTCATCGGCAAATGAATTTTTCCGAGGAGGTAAAAGCCGCACAGTGCTAAATCAGGCTAGAACGGGCAGTGGTTTATGATTAAAATTCGATTTTTAGATAAAAATTTGCTTACTTACTTCCAAGTTACCAATTAAATTTGTCTCCTTTTTGGCTTTACTTATTTACTTAGGTGTCCTGTTAATTTGTATTGTGTTCTCAATAAATTGTACGGCTTGTTGCAAATGGGTGTTAAGCAACGATGTTTCAACATAGTATAAAAGTGCTTTTAAAATAATGCTAGTCAATATATATTATAAGAGTTGTTTATATAGTATATATACTTCGTTCATTGTGGCTTAAAAGAAATTGAATTAAATTGAAATGAATGAGTTGATTGACTTAAAATAAGCTCGAGAAAATTGGGGCAACAATTGTAGCATTTTTAGATTTCACATTAGTCTTCCGCCTGTCGTATCTTTATGTTGTTCAAAAGAGTATGACCTGTTTGGCCTTCTCCTTATCACCAGTCTTGATTAATTGAAGGTCGACTGTGTATTGCTCGTTTTTCCGAACCCCTTTTCAATTCCATTGCCCTCAGTTGGATTATTACTATTTTTTTTGCTATTCGCTCAACTGCATTCAACAACTGAGTAACGAGAGCAGATGCCAATCACGATCATTAGTTATAAATAAAACAAATTTTAGTAGGTTGCTCTACATTGCTGTTTTCGACTTTTTGTTTGTACCCGCAGTTGTGGCTATTGTTAAAATTGCTTGCATGAGCTGCGCTTTTTTATTTGTTTTATATTTTTGCACATTTCTCACTCACATTTTTCTGTTACGCTTCTACTGACGCTTACGTCATTTGTTCGAGCGTTGCTAATTTTAGCTAATTTATTGCAATATTGTCAGTAGTTGCTGATGTTGTAGTTGTTGTAGTTGCTGTTTGCTTTTGGCCCGATCGCCAGCTTGTAGCTCTGTGCATGACGATTTGCATTGCCGCATTTCAGTTTCGTACGACAATTTGTGTGAGTCTCTCTGCCTGTCCGCCTGTCCGCCTGTCTGTGTTTGGTGTAGCTCTGCAACAATGCCAACTTGATATTGTTTGCCAAACAAAGAGTGTATTCGTGCAACATAGACATAAGCATAAGCGGCGTTTCGCATAAGCGACATCCGACGCTTCCAGTTTGATGATAAATTGACGCTTTGTGTGCGCCACCTCATGTCAACAATTTATCAAGCAACAAATACAACAAATTGTATCTGTTGACCCAATTCCGAGCCAGTTACGAGTGCTGCTGTGGAAATGCAACCAATTTCAATAATAACAAAAATCCTAAACAGATTATAGCACTCGGATAAGTGGGCACAACAAGCCAGATTTCAACTGCAACTGCAACCTCCACTGCAACATTGTATGGGTGAGTGTGTCAGTGTGTGTGTGTGTGTGTTGTGACATCATAAGTAGGCCTGACATCGTCGTCGACGCGTCTGCTGAGCCAGTTATGAATGAAATGGCTTAACGCATTTGAAACCATTATCGGGCCTGGCCATCAGTGTAAGACGCATGTTGTTTTGGAGTCCCTCGATAATGATAGGGCATTTGTTTCTGTACTTGCTGGGCTCATTCGCTCGCCTTTGAAGTAATGACACGCCCGGGGGCTCCTCTCTGTTAGCTATGACATGGAAATATTCTCACAGCTTGCCACTGTCTGCAGTTGTCTGTTATTATTACAGCTGATCTTGTTATTGTTGCTGCATGGAGTCTAAAAAAAAAAGTGCATATCATCTGCACAGTCTTCCCATTGATATGTCTTTAATAATACCGTAAGTGATTCGCGGCTGCTTATGTGTCGTTAGAGCGGAAATCAAAGTCATACAATGAGTAGCTTGTGTTAATTGTATCACAGTTGTTGGCGGAAGCGGAGTGTTTTAATTGCTAACGAAGAAAACGTAATTCCTTTTTTATGAGCCATATCAACAGCATTACGTGTGTGAAATAAAATCGAGAGCATACTTAGGTCCCTGAGCTGCGAAAATATACCGATATACTTATGTGTCTCCAAGGAAGTTAACTTTAAGTGCTTGGTGTTTTTACAAATGTTTCATTTTATATATTTAATGGGCTTTCAAAATATTCAATAAAGAAAATACAAATTAAAAAGTATCCTTGAAATTTAAAAATCGAAATCTAAAAAAAAATAATAATACAGTGAACAATATTTTTATAAAATATCCTAACCTCCGCTATTTATGCACATATTATTGTTATTATTTAATTATTTCACAGTTATGCTCAGTTTTGCAAGATATATAATAATAGTAGTAGTTCTTGAACAAATAATGCAAATTAAACTAAATGTGTTGTTATTTAGCACAGAAATGGTTGCAAAAGGAAAATACTTTAATTTTACAATAATATGCTAGAGTAGAGTGAATATCTGTTTTTTTTTCTGCTATGGCTAAAGCCATGTAACGTAAAACTGTTTAATGAATCTGGATCTTGAATTTTACAATTGATTGTTATTTGTAAGTATTTACACAAATCTTAACGTATTTTTTATATTGAATAAAGTCAATTTATTTTAATCGCCTAAATAGGTAAACAAATAAAATAAGAAAAAAATAGGATGTGTCCTCTTAACCGGACACCCCCCTTGAGGGGACAAATGTTGCTCGAAGGTGAGTGTCCGGCCAAGAGAGGTTTCACTGTAACACATTAAAAAAAATTAGGTGTATCAAGGCACAAACACCAGCGCTTAAAATATGTCAGAGCAGCAATTATTAAAGTGAGCGAATACATTAGACATAATTAAATATAAAAGTTTGACTAATGGCCCATAAAAAGATTAGAAGCCTCGCTTCGTTCTCTTCGCAAACTTGTCAGCCTCTGTAAAAGTAATTTGCCAATGATTTTAGTTTGACAACCAGGCGATATCCGACAATATAATGCTGCAGACCACTGTTGTCTTGCAAGTTGAGTTAATTGTATATCGACTCTGAAGCAAGAGAAATGTTCCGCTTTGAATTAGAAGAAGAATTTTGACGTCTACACATATTTCTGTATTCCTCAAGTCAAGCATGCACCAAAATGAATCAAAAACGATTAAGTAATAATAATAATAAAGCAATCCATTTCTGGGATAAACAGATTTTTGGTAGCAAAAACAGTCAGTAGCCCGACAATTTATGCAACAAGCCAAAAGTTACATTACAACGACACGAATGACACTACAATGGTTCGTGTTGCATTTGCAAGGGGCAGCCTGCCAGCAGCCAACAATGCCCGCTAGTCTTAGAAGAAAATCAAGCCTGATATCATGAGCTTTGTCCACATACCGTACCGTTACCTCTACTTCTAGCATACTTCTATTTATGCTGATTTCAGCCCATTTGCTGTCGCGTGTTTGGTGGCCAGTTGCTGGGCACATTCGAGCACAAATTGTAGGCGACATTTGCCGCTGTCTTCGGTTCCAATGGCAATGGACAAGAATGTTCTTGGGTCTTTAAGTTAAGCGGCTCAATTTGCAAATACCAAATATGTTATTGCAGTTGTTGTTGATGTTGTTATTGCTGCTGTATTTAGGTTGTAGCTGACCCATTTGCAAAGACGCTGCTAAGCCGTTGAAAGTTGCTTGGTTTCGAGCAATATTCGCTGTACGAGTCCGCATGTTTGTGTGTGTAAGCGGCTTACAGGCGAGTGAAATTAATCATAAACATTAAGAAAACATTAAAATGTTTGCTCATGTAATTTTGCATATTTCTGAACGAGCCGTATTCGTAGAGTGAAGTGGAAGTGTGGGTGCGTAGAACCGGTTTCGTTTCTTTGCGCTGTCCGGGTCGACACTTATGCCAAGGTTTTTAGCAAACCCAAAAATACTCGTTATGTTCGTTATTTTCGAGCTATTCATTATTTATTTTCGCTTAACTCTCTTTGCAGCTCTCACCATGAAGTCATACACACAAATACTCTACACAGCGCTGCATATAATTGTAAGTATTGCTCCGAATGTAAACATATTGTTTTTATTGCTTTCCTATGATCTGAGCACAACATTAGCCCCATTCTGGGCGCATAGAAATGGAAAATTGCTAGGCCAAGCACAAATATAGCAATCAAATGCAATAAACATAAGTCGCAACAACTTTTGCTTAACATTTCACTCAGGCAAGTCAGTGAAGCGGACTGGCAAGTCAGTCAAGAACATAACCAGCCGAAGCCACTCAGTCAAAGCCAAAGCACTAAATGACAATTGCATGCCAATGCGATTAACCTAAATATGAGAAAGGTACTGACGGCCATACTTGCACACACACGTACTCGAATGTACGAGCTGGCTAAAATCAATTCGTGTTGTGGCAAGTTGCCAAAAGTGGCACACAGCGCTCCTCAAGACGATCAGTCAGAGGCTGATTTGTGCCAGGAAGACGCTAAGATTCTACAAGTAGAGACACAGACGCTTGGCCTTTCCTCAACTCTAACCCAGAGTCTGTCGGATTGTCGACTCAGTGGCTGGCGAAAGTTTTCTAGGCAGCTTGCATAAATTGCATCTGCATGTTGCGCCTTAGAATCGTGAGAATGTTTTTCATATCTGGCGGTTAAACACGAAACTGCCGGCGCATTTCTTTCAATTTTAATTAAAGGAGCTTACAGGCTTGTCAGCATTCGGCTTGCATACATTATGTTCGTTTTACTGTCAGCCTGGCGTGATTTATACTGCCGCTTTATAGGTAGCTATCGGATTATAACCAATTGTATTTATCGGACAGAGACTTAGGGGTCAGTCATTTGCAGCGCGCGCGCTACTGTGTGGACAGAGTGGAAAAAAATGTTAATGAGATATTTTTCTTTGGCTTTTTCTACTTTTCAGATAATTGCAACTTTAACGATACACGGCGCACAGATACCGACATCTGCAAGTGAGTATACACATTCTACTATATGTCAAGTCTGGATCAAATACACTGAAAACACGTTTCTCTCGACTAATTTTCAATTTAAGAATTTGTACATCATCATTTACATTCCTTTGCAATACATACTCTTATATGGGCACATATATACGAGTATGTATATAGGTAGGCAGTATTAATATATTCGATTAAAAGTGCGATCAAACGACACCAATATGCATCATTAAAAATTGTCAAGAGTTGCACAGGTATCCGCCTTCTAAGACTTTTCACAAAGCAAACTTTTTCATCGGGATTATGATGTGATCGACTATAGCTCTCAGATGCTATCATACTTGTGCGACTTCTTATGACTTGACATTTAATTCACGACCAGGCAGCACTTCTGATGGGCTGATGTCAACAACTCCTGCCTCTGTACGTGAGAAGGATTCGTTTGAAACATCTTAATCTGCTTGTGTACACATCAAATAGCTTTGCAAAGCATTGATATTGATATTGCCTAATTATTCATTTAGCCCCCGTTTTCCGCTAAAATTGGTGATTAGATCAGAGCTTGGTTGATTGCCAAACAGATAAGTAATTCCTTGTCCGAACCTAAGACAATGTGACACAAAAGTGAACGTGCCATAGCAATTGCCAAATCAACGGCAACCCACAAAAAATGGTGGCCAAATAATAAACATCCATTTATATGTGTTTGCGGCATTGTGGATATATCTTTTTCAGTCTGGCTTATTAAGAAACTGCTGCAAATTTGCGGCACCTTTGTGTGTGCGACCTGGCCATTGTGTTTTGAATGAGTTGGCGGCTGTAGAGAGCCGGCCAAACAACTCTTGTAGTCAAATATTGCCGCATACTTCCTTTTCGTTGGCTTTCACTGTACATGTGTGTGTGTGTTTGTGTTTGTCTGGCAACTGGCCATTGCCAAATGTTGGGCTAATTTATGCGATAGCGGCAGAAAACGAGACCCGCATTTAATCGCAATTAATCAGAGCTACAACAGGCGATGGGCTTCTGCATATCTTTAACTATCGGCAGCTTTTGCCAATACTCCGGCCCCGTTGCTTGCAGCTTCAGCAAATATTGTAGAAACTGATTATAGGTAAAGAACTGCCGTTGCGGGCAACTGAAGTCGTGATGATACGCGCAATCCTTATCAAAGATCCATCGACGCTGCACGGGCACCTCGAAGTTGGGCAACAAAAACTCGCAACGTCGAGTGTAGTCCGTGCAGTACATTTCCGTTGAGGCGTAGCTGTTGGGGGAAGAAAGAACGAATATAATAAAAATGCCATAACACTATAGTACACTCGATCCTACTTACATAAAGGCGTTGTTGATCATATCCTGGACCTCCGGACTGTTGCTAATGTGATGCATCACCCGCGTGTCCTGTGCATTCTGCAGATAGCGCAAAAAGAGTGGCGGCAACAGGCCGAAGCGGACGCATTCCATGATTTCGACCAGGTGGGGTTGACGGGCCGGCCACTCATGGGATAGCCAGCGCAATGCCGACATGAAGATCTGCACAATAGAGAAGGCATTAGAAGAGGGGGCCCAAGCGTTCTTAGAATGTGCCCCAACTTTATTGAGTGCTCTGAATTATGTTCAGGTTCGATAGTGCCTGGCAATTATTATTCTTTTTAGAAACAGCATTATATTAAAGAAGTCTGCAATCAAAGAACTTTCTTTGTTCAGCATTCTTCGTCAGCTATTTAGTCTGAACTTTGAACTTCTAACTTCTAACTGGACAATAGAGAAGGCATTAGAAGAGGGGGCCCAAGCGTCCTTAGGATGTGCCCCAACTTTATTGAGTGCTCTGAATTATGTTCAGGTTCGATAGTGCCTGGCAATTATTATTCTTTTTAGAAACAGCATTATATTAAAGAAGTCTGCAATCAAAGAACTTTCTTTGTTCAGCATTCTTCGTCAGCTATTTAGTCAGAAATTTGAAATTTCTATCTAACTTCTAACTGAACCTTTCAAATATCTACATATTTGTCTCAGATGAACGAGCATAGTTTCAAAAATATGGTCATATATCTGTCTTTATTTACTAGCATGTTATACTTTTGATTTTAAAAGCAATAATATATCCAAATATATTTATATTATTTTGGGACATGCCTTTTAAGGTATTAAACAGTTTACACATTTTAAAATATGTTCGTCCCCACATGCCTAGACAGAACTTGATTTAGCATAAACAGTGAACACTCCCTTAACGGACACCGCTTTTATCCGGCCACTCTCTTTGGCGGGAACTTTTTCTAAATAAAAATTCGAACACCGTATAAAGCATTTAAGTATCCCCTTAAGCGGACAAAAATTAAAAGAGAGTTTTCACTGTAGTATAGTAAGTCGTCCACTCACCTCGATCTCACTGTTCACTCCCACATTGTGCATGTTGAGAAGCTTGCATATTTGTGCAGCGTTCATCTCAATAAATTCCCGCGAGGCAACCAGAGTGAGAAAGAATTTTGAAATGCGCGACAACATTAGCGACTCAAAGTCTGGCAAAGAAAATTTAGAGGCCTCACAAAATAATTGGAATGCGACATTTTCTGTAATTTCCGACCGGTTTAACATGCTCCAGCAGGCCTCCAAGACGGCGTCCATTTCAAGAAATGTTGCCCCACTGATAATCTCGACAAGGTTGCGCTTAGAACCGTCCTTGATGTTCAATATCCAGTTGTAGATTGAATGGAAGGCCGTTGGGGTTATTTTTTCAGGTGGCAGCCTGATGATATTGGTCTCCTTGCATTTAAAAAAATATTTCGAATATGCCTTCAATAGGGACAAATGACATCGAAACTTATATTTGCCGACAAACACTTTCGTTGAACACTTGGATTGATCGCAGAGCACCTCATATAATTTGTCAGATATGTCTGGTTTAGGGTTCTGTGAGCAAGCTAGCTTCTCGGCGCTATTGAGGTTAATAATGTGGATGCTGAACTCTGGATCTAAGGGCATTGCCTGCAGTTGCTCCAAGGATTTTGAAACGAGACTAGATGTGAGAGAAGACATTTTATATTTACTATATATCCATTCAAGAAGTCGGTTTCAAGCCTAACACAACAAAGTTCTCAAAAAAGAAAAGCATTTCCCCTTACCCTCATAAATAAAATATATTACCAATAAATTAAACATAATGGTCTTGAATGCACCACGGAAGGTCTCCTACTTACCAATGCACTTCCGGATCGAAGCTTTCGGTAGAAGTGGTCTTGCTACAGACAAGCTTGTCTGAAAATTGCTCGTCGACGCTTATACTCTCATTGGAAGCAATGGAAACATTAGAAACAGTGGGACATTCTGGAATGCTGGGAAGCTCTGGTTCAATCTGGTTCGGCTGTTTACTTTCCCTAATATCCACAGTATCCCCAGTAGAGTGATCCACCATCGTTGGCCCTGTGGCGAGGTTGGGCTTGAGATCCGCGGATTGTTCAGTTACTTCGTTCACATCGTCGGCTACATGGTCCGCCATAATTTGATTTGAAAATTTTGCTTTTGATTTAATTATCCGAAACGGTTAAATAATTTGAATATTACAAACATGAAAGCAAAGGCAATGCAAGTTAAAAATTAACAACATACCAGCAGAAGAATAGCAACAGCTTCAGCATGGGCGTACGGCATTGTTGCGACTCCTTTAGTTGTTGGCCATAAGAAACCGGATTTGTGCAATGCCCCTAGAAAGTACGAAAGCACTCCAAAGAATCGTAGCAGAAGTGACTGATGCAAAATGTAAAAGGTTCATTGAACTAACTCAGGCAGGCGGCAGGCAGGCATTCGTTATGGCCGCGCCAAAAGTTGCCATTTTAGCAATACATACACGAATTCACTTAAACGTGGCCGAGACGTGCCAGAGTCCACAGAGTTGGAGCCCCACCATTGAACGCAGCGAGCTGTTAAGTTCTGTGTACCTAGGGCAGAGCCATAAAATTGCTGGCTACTTTAATGGCACGCGAAGTGTCGGGAGCTGAAGACTGATACCGAGACTCAGACTCAGACTAAGGCCAAGACAAAGAGCAAGACCAAGACCAAGACCATTTTTATTGCAATCTGCTGTGCTTTGGGTTCTGCTTCGGTTTTGCTGCACACACATTGGTGAAGCAGGAAATGCCCAACAACAGAACCAAGCTAGAAATAAATTGGCTCTGAAGTTGCAGCAACGAGTCGCAAAAGGTTCTGCTGGCATGGCGAGTTCATGGAGCGAACATTGCATCTTTCTAATGGGCAGTTAAGGCGCTTCTGTTGTGTACGAGCAATGTCGCCATTGCTGCCTCAATGACTTTTCAATGTCATTAACGTAACGTCGCGACGTTGCCTTGGCAGCGCTGTTGTCGCAGCGGTTGCATGTCGCCGGATGCTTCCGCGTGTTGTTCCAACTGCACCTTGGCTCGATGCACGCTAAATCGCTAAATGTTGCTCCCATGGGCGTCTTTTGTGCTGCCATTGTCTTGCCTGCTGAGCTCTGCTCTTCCACTCGACTTCGGTTTTGGCTTATTGTTGTGCAGTTTTTTCTTTTGTTTTTCTTCTTCTTTTTTGCAGTTGCCGCATGATTTATGCTAACGGTGTTTTAGTTTAAGCAGCAGCATCTGCAACATCATGTTTGCCTAACTGTAGTTTTCGTGTGCCACTCATTGAACCTGCATTCCATTTAAGAGCGAGCTTATGGAACACTAAAAATACATATATATACTTGTATATATATGTACATAAAAAAGAAAAGGAGAGAAACTCATTTCATAATTTCTATGCCCCTTACAGAGGATGCCGAAGCAGCTTTAAACGATCCCGAAGCGGCAGCTGCTGGAGCGGATGGCACGTCCACAGCGAAGCCGGTCATTGAGCCAAGCGTGCGCGTAAAATGCCTATCCGGTTCAATGCTGATCACAATCAAAGATGCGCCAGTGAATCATGAGACTGGCCTATTTAGTGGCATGATCTATCCGAAAGGCTTATCGAAGAACTCCACATGCCTCAGCGAGTACAGGTGAGTGCGGCCATGACTGCGTAGATAATAACTCCGATAAAACTGTAACCGTTATGGCTATGGACTCAACAAACCGATAATCAACTGGCTTTCTTCTGATTGCAGAGATCATGTGGGTGCATTGCGCTACAAGTTGCCACTTCGTAGCTGCAACACGATGCCCAAGGAAACGGTAAGTCATGCTTGTCTAACATTTTGTTTTTATTCAATTGAACAACTCGCCAATTAATAATTCATTTGACGAGTGAGTACTGAAATATTCGACCACATGTCGTATACTTGTTCTGCCTTTTGCATATGCAAATTTTTTGAATCAATAGCTACATATACTTATACTCGAATGTGGCTGCTCGCTAGTTGTTGAACAGCTAATAAGGTAAAATAGCATCAAACTAATCGTTAAGCGATTGGTTACAAGGTAAAAATCATAAACAATGTTCATTAGTGGACTGCTAAGGTTGGCGCATCACTCAAATGATCGCCATGTGGCGGAATCGTTCAAACATGACTCTGATTGCACGCACTTAATGCAAGCCCAGCAAGTACTATAAGTATGTACTACGAATGACGCAATGATGACCTTAATTTATATCTGAATTATTAGAAAATTATAACGGATCATTGGTTTGGAGTGGTTTTATTTCATTGATGAGAAGTTACATCATCAATAATAGTTATTGGATAGTTTAAAGCAAAGTTTTGGCTTCTTCATTGCTTAAACTAAGTCCCAATTTCCTTAAGCTGGTGCTTTTAAGCTGCGTTCTTTTTCAAGAATTAAATTGGGAAAATTCCAAAAAATAAAATAAAGTCGTCCTTTCTCGGACCTAGGAGAATCTGGATACCAACTTTATTTATTCTAGCTATTATAGTTTCTGAGATCCTTGCGTTCATTCAGACAGACGGACGGCCGGACAGACGGACGGACATGTCTAGATCGATTTCTCTCGTCATTACATTTTTCATTCAATTTTTGGGCCAAAGACAAAGCGCAGATATTGCACACTTTTTCCCAGTGGATATTGTAATTGTTAAATTAAAATGCAAAGTTCTCTCTGGCATGGGAAGTTGCAAGAATATTATCACAAATGTGTACAACTTTTTTTTTTTGATAACACAATTACTTCAGCAAAATAACGACAGGAATTTGAATTTAAATAACAATTTTACGTACCACTGTTAGTAAACATTTTTATTTCCGAAACTATAGTTTTGCGAAAAGACTGATATTAAATAATATGCTCAAAGAAACTATGTTCTAGTACACAAAGCTTCATGTTTCTATTGACCCTTCTCAAGGAACAATTAATCGTGCTGTCGCCCATGCTCTTTGTATTGTATGACCAAAAACAAAAACAAGTATGCCATAAAAAACCAACACCTACTTACGAGTAGATATATACGTTTTTCTAATATGCACCGATCGCATGACCTGCTTTATTCGTTCATTCATCGGCAATTTATCGCCGATTCGCATCGCAACCATCTCAGTACATACTCGTATGTATTTTGAAATCTCAATTAGCACCTATTAAGCTAAATGCGGCGGCGTTGTTGGTGTTGCATCGACTTTTTATAGCCTTATATCAAACGATTGTGTATTGCGCTTTCTGACTTGTGATATATTTAATGTAATCTCCAGGTTTTTATGGCCAGTGGCGGCATTTTACGGCATGCTGCAGTAGTTAGACAGCATTTTGTAATTTTATTGCCTTTCGCTCGATTCCTTGCCTGGCTGGCTGGATTGACACAATTTTCGAAATTGTAAATGCTAATTGCTGTTATGGCACATAGTCTCCATGGGCAATACGTATGTTAAGAGATTCAATAGCATTCCAACTCACGCAGCGCTCTGTTCTGAGTGGTTAGCAATGTGTGCCCAAGTTCGTTGCTTAAGTCTTTTGTTTGTAGTACACACTTGCTTTGTCCTTCGTCGCTCCAACGTCGTGCTATTGACATAAGTAATTGACGTTGAGCGTTAAGTAAACACAAATCTTAGCTGCTATGTGCCGAGGGCTAATAATGAAAAATCAATAAAGTCAGCGCAGTTCACTGAAGGTTTTAGAGTTTGCTATTAAACGAAATGCTTACGGTGACAGCACTGGACAACTCTTTGACCTCAGCGTGACTCGACGACATCCTGTGAAGCTGGATTACGTCATTAAAAGATGAGCTAACTCAATACTCACAACTTCAGCGCACAAAATGAAAAAACAAAACAACAACAATTTGCGTGTCAGCTTGAACACTGAATCGTTTACTTGGGCCTTGCCATGTTGCGACTGAGCGCATGACAAAAGTAATTAAATAAACTATAAATACATAGTCTGTGGCTATCGTGTATGACATTAGTCGTCACTCATACTTGAGACGTAAGCATGAAGAGGGTGAAAAACATTTAAACACAGATGATGTGCAAAAAGTGTGAGAGAATTAAATAAATTAAATGATTTATGTTGTACTGCTCATTCAGAATGGCTGCTGTTCATGGTCAGCTTAAGTTCAAAGTCGCCACTTTGCCCTTACAATTCAGTTATTTTTAGGTACACATATACAAGTAGTATATATGTGGGTATGTAGATACGCTGCTGTCGAGCATGCCAGCAAGTTCATTGCTTCAGGCAACTCGTGGCGTACCTGCACGGCATTTTAAATCAATTTTCAACACATTATAAGGTCACTCCAATATTGAAATGAATTTGTTCTCTGACGCAGGCACGTCAGTCTGAAGAAGAGCAGAAGTAGCCGTAAAAATTAAAACTGAAAAGCTGTCACAGAAACTGGACTGGGGCCTGGGCCTGGGACTGTGACTGGACTGGAGGCGTTTTGAAATGGCGGGCATTAAAATGCGTTCGTTGGCCGCTTTGTCGCCTCCGACTGACCGTGAAAATGCCAAAAGTGTATGGATATGTAAGCGAGCTGTTATTGTTATTGATATTCCAATTTGTTGTTGCTGCTGCCTGATGCTGTGAAGGTCAGTTGTGCCATAAAAGCTTCGCCCACGCACCTGTGCATCGCATTCTGTGTATTGACCACCAACCAGTAACTAAATGACAATCGTGCCTACTGTGGCGAGCTGATGACGAAGGCGGCCAGCTGCAACTTCATTTTGTTGTCAGTTGTAAATTCCACTATCTGTAGCTCATTAGAATAACAAATAAAAGTATACATTTCTTTTTATACCCTGTACCCGTAGGGTAAAAAGGGTATATTAGGTTTGTGCAAAGTATGTAACATACAGAAGGAAGCATCTCCGACCCCATAAAGTATATATATTCTGAATCAGCATGACGAGAGAAATCGATCTAGACATGTCCGTCCGTCCGTCCGTCTGTCCGTCTGTCCGTCCGTCTGGATGAACGCGAGGATCTCAGAAACTATAAAAGCTAGAATAACCAAAGTTGGCATCCAGATTCTCCTAGGTCCGAGAAAGGACGAGTTTATTTTTTTTTTTGGAATTTTCCCCCCCCTTCCCCCGCTACAGAATTTCGTCAATAGCGTCCACATTTCAAATGCTACCTAAACCAAACTTTGCACACATAATTTCTATATAATTGTCTACTGTTGTTCAATTTATTCAATTTCAATTTATTCAATTTTATTCAATTCGGTCAATTCTAAGAAGTTATTAGCCAAACAAATTCTCGCCAGTACAACCCCCCCAAACTGCAGCAACAAGTTCGCTCTTCTTCTTCCTCTTTTTGCTGCTTTGGGCGCATATAACTCAGTGGCGGAAGTTTACCTGGGTACAGGGTATTACACTGTCGGGCTTGCTCGACTGTAGCGTTCTCTCTTGTTTCACTTGAAAGTTGCCGCTGATCGTTGAAAGAACTGGAAGCAGACTATAGATAGTATACATATATATATAGAGTTAGCAGCCAGCGGGAAGTGTTGGCTTGCCAGTCAGCTCTCTGATATGACGACATGACACGTAGCACTAAGAGGGGGACCAGAACTTCTGCTTTTGCTTTTGGCTATAGAAAAGTGTCATAATGACATAATAGCTGCTTTTACAGTTATGTGCTTGAAATCCGAAATGTCATTTTATTATGCTTTTTATTAGCCCATTGTCTTGTTGAAGCGCACAGCTGATGCTGGGAAGCAAATAACTGTCGACAGTTCTTAGCGACATTCTCTTGCCTCGTTGCTTGGCCAACATTGAAGATTATCATCTTTCACCGCACGATTTAAACAAAACCAGACAATTTCAGTGTGCTTAAGAAAAAGTTAGACAGACAGGTAGACAGCCAGCCAGCTAGCTAGCTAGCTACGAGTAGATAATAAATCGCATTTAAACACAATGAGCGCTCGTTCTAACGTCAATTAATGCAACAGCAAACATAAAAAAAATAGGAAATAACAGAAAAAATACTAGCGACGACAGTCCAGCCATGGCTGTAGGGCTAGGGGCCACTTAAATGAAGAACTTCCGTGTCCAAATCTTGAGTTCAGACCCAATTACAAGACTTCCGAACGCGCGAAGCGACTCACACCGACGCTGCGGCAAAGCACGCAAGCAAGCAATTGAGTTTACTCGATTTGTTGTTGTTGTTGTTGTTGTAGCTACTACAACGAAATTAGCACAAACGCCAATGTGTACCGTTACATGTAGGCAACAGCGAGAGAGCGCGAAAGGCAGTGCGGGAGAGAGAGTGCTGTAAAGAGCATATGTATAAGATAATTATATGCGAAAGGTGTGTAAAGATAATCAAAGAGTCAATACAACACTGAAATGCAGAGATAGTAAGGGACCACCATGAAAGGCCACTGCGTCTACAGGCAGTAGTGGCAATGTTTCCAGCTGTTGAGCATTATCGCACACCACAGGGTGTCCCGACTAAATAAATTGACGGCAATAGCGAAATGATGCAAGCGAATTGCCGCAGCGGAAATACGCCTTGCTAAGCCTTCTATGTATGTATATCTCTGACTGTATTTATGTATGTATGTGCTGGAGTCTACCATAAAATTTCATTACGCAAACATTGCTAATTTGTCTGGAGATAAGACAGAACGCTTCTTTGTGCCGGCATCGGCACCGTTACACATCGTTGCGCAGCGAAATTTTGAAAGCTTTAAATTCGTACGCGGCACACTGGGAAGTCATTTTAGGAAAACAGACGATAAATGTAGATACCATATTTTTTATAGTGCAGTGGCAAATATTTTATAAGCAGAACGAGTCGCAAACACAACTGAGCAATCAGAAAATTCTGAATATGACAATTTTGTCATATATTTTTATTTTTTATATTTTTAGTTTGTTCCTTCATAATTTTGTTCACAGAACTGTGAAAAAATTATTACATACATATAATAAAATATAATAATTTCTAAAGGGCTTTTTGTGGTAGTGGTTAGATATGTACAAGGAGCAGACGCGCGTTTTAAATTATGTTTTTCATTATTAAGAAATAATACAAATTTATAATTTTTTCCTTTTGGAAAATTGGCATGAACAATCGTTATTATTTTTCGTATGATACAACCTCTTGTCATGTTTTTAATTAATTAATTATATCTGTTTTTAAAAAATCATTTAGCATTTTTTAAAATAAAACTCCACATTTAACCCATTTTAGTTTTGTTAAACTTTAATGTTATGACGAGCCCAGTGTGCACAAGTCCATTGGCACAGGCTTTATTATTGTACTTAGGTACGAAGCATCATTCTATGACAACATCAGGAAGTGCTAAAGACGCCCTGCTCAGACGTTGAGATGCGCACATCAAATTTCTCGCTGGCGGAGCAGCAATTTTCAGTTGCAACGAAGCGTGAATGCGAATCTGAATGCATAATGAGTGTCTGCTGCTATGGCTTCTTGGCTCTAGCACTTGTCTGTTTAAAAACGCTTAATTTCATAGCTAAAAGTATATGTGTTCCCGCTAGCAAGTTTGTTGCCTAAGTCTTTTGTTAGGCAGCCGCGCATAATTTGCACGCTAATGTGAAGCTTAATTATACGAATATGACTCGGCCACAACCACAACAAGACTAATGAAATGGCTTTTCTCACTCACTACCCTCTTCTGCTCTTCCTTATAGGATGATGGCGGCATTGAGTTCTTCAACACAATTGTTCTGCAACCACATTTAAAACTCATCACCGATCTGGGCCGTGGCTATCATGTCCGCTGTGCCTACAAGAGCCGCGATGCGGCCATCAAGCCCAAGAAGTATTTGCGCAAACACGCACAAAAACCGCAAGCATTCCGTAGCGTCAATGGGGAGTCTAACGATCGACGTGACTACGGCCGATCGCTGGACAGACAACGCGACGATGAATTAGATGAGGAGGATGTGTACGATGAGCGCGATGTGGCGCAGGATGATAGCAACGATATGACCACTAATGAGATTCCCATGCCCGGCTGCCACATGAAGATCTACAATGAGGAACACAAGATCGCAGATGATGTGAAAATCGGCGATCCCCTAACCATTGTCATCAGCATAGACGAACAGAAGTTATTCGGACTGCATGTGACCGATTGCATAGTGCGTGATGGTCTCGGCTGGGGAGAACAACGTTTGGTGGGAGAGGACGGGTGAGTTGCCGCACTCCTTAAATGGTAAACATTCCTAAAACTGGTTTCTTTTCGCATGCAGCTGTCCCATGGACAACGAGATCATGGGCCAATTCAACTACACTGAGGATCGCCTGGCGGCCAATGTCACCTTCCCTGCACACAAGTTCCCCTACACCACGTCAGTGTACTATCAATGCAATGTGCGCTTGTGCGCCCTACAGGATCCTACATGTCAGGAGGCACCCGTGTGCAGTGGTAAGCGACCCAAGCGACAGACATTGACTGATGGCAAGGAAGAGGATGGCTTGCCCGCAACCATTGAAGTGTTCTCCGGCTTGTATGTTAACGAGAACGAGAACGCCAACGATAGGGATGAGGATGCGGTCTTCAAAGAGAAGGTATGCCTTAATTTCTAATTACAATTTCCTTTCAGAAAAGTAAGTAGCTGAGATAAGGATTAATTTGTATGTAGTTTTCGCAATTACCCAGAATTTGATGGTGTACTATTTATATATAAAGGGATTCATCGTTATGCTGAATATAAGATGTTCCTCAAATTCTCTTCTCAGTTATCCGTTGATGTCAGCTAAAAATAACTCCACTTTTCAGACTAATTTATTATAAAAATTAAAACCTAATTTTAAAAAACGTTAAGTACAATTCATGCTATTGAGGAATGTACGCCCTAGTATAGAAGTTCTATCAAACATTTTCATTTATATGTTATTAGAATTTCTATATTTGAATTATTAAATAATATTGGCTTCGCTCTTTTAGCGTCAACTTCAAGGTAAATTAACAGACCTTAGTATAAAAGTACATATAGTACTTGAATTTTACTTAATTTATCAGCCAACTGATTTGGATATGCAATAGATTAATATATGTTTTAACATACTACAAAAAAGAAACAGAAAACATTTCTATAGTATGTACTTCACATATATTTTTGGTACTTAAGCAGCTATATTTTGAATATAGAAAATAGACTCATGTTACTTCTTTTTGTCAGACGTACTTGTATGTAGGTGGTTAATTTTTAATCTATGCTATTTACATAAGGATATTGATGCGAATCTTTGTTGTTGTCCATCTATTTATCTATTACGATTAATATATGTAAAATGTGAATACAATATTACAAAAAAGAAATGGAAAAACATTTCTATAGTACGTACATTCACATATATTTTTATATGAACTTTTGAATATAGAAAATAGACTCATGGTATTTCTTTTTGTCAGACGTATGTAGGTGGTTAAATTTTATTTTATCTATTTTACGTTTGTATATTTACTTTTTTTTCTTATTTGCAGACTCTGGATGATGCTTTGTGCGTATCGCAGCGCACCTTTGCCATAGCCATCGCCATTGCCGGCCTTATATTGATGCTGGCCGTTGTTGCCGCCGTGCTCTGCATAATGGCACGTCGCAGCACGAAGACGGCATCCAACTCTGGCAGCTCGATTTACAGTGGGCCCTATACGAACACCGCCTTCTCGCACAGCAGCTAAGTGCGCGCACACACACACACACACACATAAGGCGTGGAGAGTGTGAAAATTCAAAATTTGATCATTTCCAAAATTGAACAATTGAACACTCAAAGTGTTTAAAATCCATTTAGTTTCGTAGAGTCTTGATGTGCGATCCGATCTTTCGTGCAGCCGGTGCCGCTGCGGTAGTCAAAGCCGTCGAAGTGTTTAGTGTCTGTAGCTTGTAAGGTCACAAGAGCAGTTGGGCCCAACTGCCTAGACTTAGTGTTACGCGTAGTTTTTAATTTGCAAACCTCGTGCAGATATTACCAGGCAATGGAGCCGCTCGTTCTATTGCCCGCTAATGTCGCAGAGTTGTGGGGCACGCGACTCTGTTGGCCACAAACGGTGTTGGACTCACACACTTTTATCAAAACACTCTGTAGCAGTGCAGTCATTTGCATAATTTACTCTATTTACAATTAGTTTAAAAAAAAACACACACACACACACACACAATCGAACTAACAACGAATGCAGCCGACGCTCAGGTGATATTTGTATCTTATCTAAAGCTAAAGCAAACTATAATTTATTAACCTAATGGGCACTTTACTACCAAAGTTCCAAAACACACACACACACACCCCCTCACACACACACACACTTTGTTCTTAGTTGAATCTCTTGTGCGATTTCTAGTAATCTTGTCATTTGTTTAACTTACTCGTAAACTATTGCACTATAATTATTTGCATTAATGTGTATGCGAAATACTCGCATTACGCATACGCCACGTACGGGCAGCCCTTCTCAGAGCGATGCCGTCCCACTATAATACATACAATACTATAAATAATGAATATAGATGCCTATCATACATATGTAAATGAATAAATGAATAAACAATGCCAGCTGGCATTTTTTGAACTTGTAACAATTCTGAAAATAGTTAGATTAGAGCCTTGCACAACTTCATTTGAGCATTTCGGCCAGATAAAGCTTATCTGAAGCTGTGCAATGCAAATTATTTGAAAATCAAAAACCAGATGTGCGAGAGGACCTATTTTTTAAAGCAATTTTAGTTAAACATGTAATCTAATCTTAATCAACGAACAATAAATTTAAATTGACAATATAAAAATATACCCAAGTCGATGTTTAACTTGTCATGCATTTTGAGAAGCGTAATTTATTCTGTCAGCAGCGGCATTTAAACGGTCAGTCTCGCTTCGGAGTTGCCAGTGAACGATGATCTTGCCCATGTTGCTCATTTGTGTTGCATGGATACCACTGCCTGTTATTTGCTTGATGGAGTGCCATCCGCGAAACTCTTCCCACCTCCAGTTTCATTTGGTGCGCGAATGTCAACGAGCTGCCCATCATATATTGGCTCTCGAGAATACCCCCACGTTCGCGGACTGTGCAGAATTGGCTCGAGAGTGGCGTGGCCTGGCCTTGAACTACTCCCCAGGTGGTAAGAGGCGCAGCAGAAATCGTTACGCCCAGCAATTCAACGAGAGTACAGGTAAATGCTAAATGAGCATTTAACAAAAGTTCGTAATCACTGAACAGCAGCTAAGTTACATATTTTTGAAAGTATTCCTTTTAAAAATATTCTACTGCAAAAGTAGACAAAATTTGTCACAATTTAGTGAATCTTATTCGAGCCAACGGTCTACATAAAAAAATATCAATGCCTACAATCAACTCCCAATGATTATCGACCCTTGCTTCAGTTTAGTCTCGCTTTTTAATGGAATTTTCTGATTAAAATTTCAATATTAACAGATGGCTTTATTCCATCATGAAATGAATCCGTAAATTGGCTTTCCTTATCAATTATGTAATTACGCCCAAATAAAGAACGGCAGCCTGTTGGTTAGGAAAGAATATATGTACTATACATACATTTAGTCTATTTTATATGCATATGTATGTTGGATACTTAATCTTTGACTAATGGAGGACCATAAGTTCCTTTAAAGTCCTGACTTTATATTTATGATATTTAATGAATCATATTATAGAGTGAATCAAATGTAGAAAAAGAGAAACAGAAACTGTCAAATTGATTGCGAGATTTGACTTCCTCAAGCCATTCTGGGTTTTAAATTTAAAGAGCTCTATCTTAAAGTCGACATAGGTTTATGTTTTTTCATTAAAATGGTTCCTTTACAGAATCCGTTTTTAAATACCAGCGCAGTCAACTGAGCGTTTTTGAGCAGCCGGCCGAGTTCTTTAACTGTCATGTCCTGCAGTGTCCACAGAACGCCAGCTTTTCGGCAATGATCAACGATAGCCGTTTTGATTATTACAGCTTATATGGCAGGCCTGTAGGTGGGTTTGCATTTTTTTAAATCTACAGTTTACAGAATAACCGTCCTATCGTAGCATTGCAAAACTACAGCTGTGTGCCAGAAGTTGGCCTTTTTTTGCTCTACACAGAGCCGACCAAATACACCAATGCATCCTTGGCGTGCAGCAACTCCAGCGAGTTTATCGGCAGTTTAGCCCACGTTGCATCCGAGAGGCGTACAGATGCATTATCACGATTTATTTTTGATTATAATAAAAGACGAAGTACTCTTGAGCCTACACCAGGCATTTTTCTGGCTTATGTCGGCCTGCAGTACAATAGGACAACAGCGCTTAATATTCACGACTTTCGCAATGCGCAAAACGAAAGTCTTAGCTGCTTCCTCTACCGAGCCTGGGATGTGGGCCATCCACGACGTGGGTGAGTCCTGTTGTCAGATTCCATAAAATATGAAAATATCCAATATTCTGTTACGCAGAACCCTTCAGAGCAATGCAAGTTGCGTAGCCTTGACGCCTCACAGAACTTGGCAAACAGTAAGTTGTGTACATAAGCTGCCCTATATATGCGAAATCTTCACGACACCAACTTCAAGTGCCACTGGACAGCTGGATGTTGGCCCAAATGCAGTGGCCGAATGCCAGAATAATTGATTTTCCTCTAATGAGGTTAGGTGCAACACTAGTATTCGCAGCCGTTTTATTCACTTTAGCGATTTCGAAAACACAAAACTCAAAACATATATTGTAATATTTAAGCTGTCGCGCTCTCGCCAATGCTGTCCCAATCGTGTTGATTGAAAGTTAAAATAAAAAGAGAATAAAGTGTACACTAAGGCTTCGGAAGAGACGATAGCTTAGTGGTACTTGTAGTTCCTGTGGTGTTTCAACTTGCCGTAGTTGATCAAGTAGAAGAAAGTCATGCTGGCCACGGTCAGCTGGAAAAAGGGAGCGATTCCGGCACGTTTGGGGAACACGTACTTGTGCTGCCAACGCCACCAGGCACGGCTCACAGCACCAGCAAGAGCATTGGGAGTCTTGTTGCGGCGTCCCAGCCAGGCGCCTATCTCGCCGAGCTTGACTTGACCGAATGGGACATCAGCTGTAAATAGCCGCAATTATGTAAATGTCAGACATGTGATAATTTTAACTATTAAAACTTAAAACCGAAAACGTAAACCGCCTGCGGCAAAAAAAGTACGGAAAATTACGTAATTTTGCAAATTATGCTTACCTTTGCCATAGAAACGAGCTGGATCGTATGGCCCGTGCACCTTTGGGTTGTAATCAGCTGGATAATCACCGAAACCCATTTTGCTGCAACGTGCAAGTTATTTATAAATATATATAGTTTAGATTTCTAATTGTCAAAACGATGAACAAATCGTGCTTGCTACTTACCCAGAATTTTTTCGACTCTGCTTCTTTATCAATGTTCAGTGTGACCATTTTGTGTACGGTTTTTTTTAAATACCAAGCAGTAACAGTGTTGTACAATGCGCAATGTGGGAGCTGTTCTTAATGTGTCTGGCAACACGGCAATAGAAGTATATACAGAAATCAAATAAGAATTTTGTCCATTTTGTAAATTTCTGTTAAAAAGCTTAAGAAATAGCTGAAATTGAAAATATTGCTTCACATAAAATGAAGCTGGAGGAACTGTTGACAAAAGGATCATCATCGCCACATGAGGACGACGACGACGACGATGAAAAGGTCGAGGTGAACACAAAAACTACAAACGCGGGGGTGGGAAATTCTGAAGATGCTCCGGATGCTGAAAAAGAAAGCGCATCAGGAAAGAAAAAGGGCACACGCAAGAAGCGCTCCCTTAATTGGGAGGAGGCTGAACGTGTAAGTGGTGATTAAAACTCAGCGGGCTGGAACATAAATGTTTTAATTAACTATAATCGCACTACAGGGACTACTTTTGGAGGTAATCAAGTCGAAGGTGGCGTTTGTAGAAAACAGAAGCGTCGATGCGAAAAGCATAAAGGCAAAGCGTCTGGCCTGGTCCCAAATCACTAAACAGTAAGTGAGAAGTGCTAGTGTACACAAAAGTGCAATTAATAGCTATTATTATTAATTTCTTCGCTAGGTTTAATGCGCTAAACTTCCGACATCGCATGCTTGAGCAAATTCAAGTACAATGGCGCAGCATGAAGAATTCGGCAAAACGCGAGCATCAGCAAAAGCACCCAAAGTCCGATGCACTGGAAGGCATGCGTATGATCGAATTTATGGAGGAGCTGCAAAAGGATCCGGTAACCTCACGCAGTCAAACACGGAGCAACACCAATGTGAACACAAATGGCGGAGGCGCCAGCTCCCTGAAGAAAGAAGTGCTCGAAATGGACGAAGATGAGGACATGCCACTGGCAGCCTTGCCCAACTCCACCAATGCGAGTGAGGACACGCTGCAGACGTCCACCATAGCCATACCATCGCCGCCCCCATCAACCGCTGGCGGAGATGGAGATTCGCAGCAGGAAAGTGCACAACAGCCGGCGCCCGCACGACGCAAACGTGCTAAGCCCACAACAAGCAGCAAGAATGTAGCATCAGAGTCCACAGAGAACGGCAAAAATGCGCCAGTTCGCAAACGACGCCAGCGTAATGTAAGTTATCTTTTCAAATATAAATAAAAACGTTTGCTAACATTTGGGTATTACTCTTTTCAGCACTCCCAGGCGCATTCTATACTATCCGACGATTTTAACAACGACGCGCCCGCGAATTTGAATGTAAATGCTGCCGGAACCAACCCAATGCAGCAGTTTTCGCTAGCCGCAGCCAACGTACAAGCTGGCGCCAGCCACGATACAATAGAAATGGAGCAAAAATTCAAGCAAGAGCTTTTCAAACTGCTGAAACAAGCACGCTTGGCAGAAATCGACTATGCCCGACGCGAGCACGAGCAGAAGCTGCGCTTCGATCAAATGGAGCAGGAACTCAAGATGAGCTACTATCGGCAAGAGCAAGACCTCAAGCTACGAAATATGCGGGAGGAGCACGATATGCGGCTGCGTCAACAGCGGCGCGAGCACGAGGCACGTTTAAGTGTCTACAATCAAAGCAGTGCGTTGAATGGCGAAGGGGTTGGCGGTAACGGGGGTGGTGGTGGTGGTGGCAGCAGTAACAGCAATGTACCACAAGAGTCTGTGGAGCAGACAAATCCCGTGGTACGCTGCAATGCAAAAACAGATTACAATAATGTGGATAACACCGCAGCTCAAGCATCGACTAGCACGGAAGCAGCTCTCTCGCTCAGCACGAATGCCCTGACCTATAATTAATGCCGATGGACTAAGAGACGCGTTGCATGAATAACAATACGAATTGCCAGCATTTAGTTTGTAAGAGCATTTAGTGGAAAACGTAACCTAACGTAACGTAACGAAAAATACTTTGCAAATTTAGCTTGAAATGCGTTTAGCAAAATGTAGCCGACTCTCAGACTAACCAAGCTGTATGTGTAACTAAGATGAATACTCATGTTGCCACGCAGGCCGCGGTCTGCGACCTGCCACGACAATGGACTGTTATTTTGCGCATGTCGCCACATATTGCATTTTCAATATTAGTATTATTATTATTTGTTTCCCCGAATAAGTATTATACAGTAAACTTGATTGCGGTTGTGTTGTCAACAAAAACGAAACAAAAACTTGAACGGAATACTCAAAAAGCTAGCAAGCCACAAACTACAAAAGTTCCCCATAATCGTAAATACTATATACACATACATATTTGTATTCATAGACAGTATTCTTTTACATATACATACTATACGTTTTTACAATTTTTTTAACATGGCATCTTTAGGTTAGTTTATGTTCGAATTTGTGTTTGTTCGTCGTTAGTTATAACTACACATTTAATATGTATTTGTATGTATATCTAGTTGTATTTTAATGTATACAGACATCTTTGTATATGCATATAAGCATTAATATTTCTTGTATTCGTAAGTTAAGTTTTGTAACTGATACGTCGATTTGTAAGTGCATACATTTTTTGTTGTACTATAGCGCTGTAATATCCTGTCACTTTGCTTCGGCTTACTAAATGGCATAATTAAAATGAACGTAAAATTAAAGGAATAGAACAAGATATTCATTAAACTGAATTCATTCTTAAGTTACATATCCGGTACACTTTTATAATAACAACAGTAAGCGACAAACTGTTGCTTTATGCTTCCCAGATAAATTCGAAGTCAATATAAGGAAAACTATTGATCTATCAAATATTACATTTTAAATTTACTTTGGAAGTAATACTACAAATCTTATTTCGGTGAGTTCGTGGCTACAAATATAATGGCTCAGAATTGAATTTATTGGGATTTTAGCACATTTCTGCACCTACATATGTAAATATATGTGTGTACCAAGTGCTAAAAACTGTTGCATAGCGACAGGCGTGCTGCTCAGATGACAACATGCAGAGGTAAACAGTCCTTAGAAGAAACATCAACAAACAGTTTCGGGTTAAATTTGTTCCGTGAATTCTTCATTTTTACAGCATCATGGCCCACCATGCCTCGTTGAAAGCAGAATGACAACTGAATTTTTAGGAACAGGCACTGGAAAGCCCGATAGCAAGAATATATGTACATGTACATACTTGTATATGTACACGTATTAGGATAATGTGTTGTCTCTTATATTGCAGTTTTCTCTCTTGAGACTGCGCAGAACTTAACCGAATACGCTTGAAGCTCCAATAGCTGGTACAATATTATTAGAATTTATTAAAGAATGCTATGAAATAAATAAATTTATGGTGTAACATTTTTAGATTTAAGCATTTTTAGCCAGTGTGTTCTTCAAAAGAAAATAACCTTTAAATCACTGATGGACTATCTTGCATTTTCCAATGCAAAGCATTTAAAATTAACTGAACTCTGACGATTTTAGAGCGTCTGGTACTTGGGTTTGTATTCAAATGAGGCTATCAAAGATTTATAATCTTTTCAATGAATTCTTTATAATTATGTGCGTGAACAGTTGAAAGCATCTTACTTGGACACCAATAAGAAAAGTGAAATTGTAGATTGCATTATTGTTTTTTTTACTATTTTGATTGCTTAAGAAATACCTTAAAATATAAACCAAATATAACGATAACGTCAGAATGATTTTAAAAAAAAATTTGCTTAGAAGTACATACAAAAAAACTCAAGCTTGTTCATAAATTTCTTATGAAATGTCAGTGTAATGTAAAATTTCAATAATTTTTCTTTTTAAGTAAATTTAACTTTTTAGTTAAGTTTCGATAACATTCGCGCCACTTAAATTTAGCAGTAATTATTATTGTTTATAGCGTTTGCCAAATTACTGAGAAAGTGCCAAAATGAAGAACCTCGATGCCTCGCTAGACTATATGGAAAATGCGCGCTTCAATTATTTATATGCACCGATCGTGCTACGCATGGAAAAAACATCGCAGTTCCAGCGCTGCGAGCTGCTCTCCCTGGTGTTGATCTACCACAAGTTCGTGCTGGAGAACGGATCCCGGGCCAAATACATGACCACGGTACAGCTGAGCAGGATGATAGAGATGTTCTTTCATATTTCAGATCGCGAGATTAACGCCATCATAGTTAGTCGCATAAGCCGCTATGATGATACGATTAACGATCCAAAGTTCACATATGATCGATACTGCTCTTTGGTGTCGTTTATAAGGCTCTTCTCCATATACTTTTCAGAAAGTTTGGATTTACGTATGCAATTTGCATTCAGTGTAAGCTAAACGACGTCTAATTACTTTTAACTCTGACAGATTATAAATATCATTTATATTAAGGTATATGATACCACGGAACGTGGCTGTTTGGATCGCGAGGTTGTAACCCGCTGGGTGGACAAGTTCTTCGAAGGTGATGATGAAGATGAGATTTTCGAATTGCGAACAGTGAGTTTTTCTATTAAGTCTCTAGGCATTTTCACCATTCTATTCCTTTAGGATATGACGGAAGTGATATTCATGAAATTTGATTTAGACAGAGACATGGTTATATCTGAAGAAGAGTATTTCAATGTGGTTCGCGAACAGCCCGCGCTTATAGAGTTTCTGGGTAGAGTGTTTCCCTCGACACGCGATCTGGATGTTATTGCAATGTGTTCTAATATCTTAAGCTTTTTCGATCGTACAGGTCATCCACTAGCGGATGAGCTTTAATTTCAAAATTCAAGTAAAGTCACAAAAAATTGCAGAATTGAATTATAAATACATATGTATAAATAAAAATTGTGAATAAGTGTAATAAAACCCAATACCCTACAATGAGTTGCATTTCCCCGATTGTCTTTGTTGGGTCTATGACGAAAAGACGAAAAGTTTTTGCATTACAAATGAGTCCAATGTATAACAGAACGAAAACAAAAGCAGTTTATTAATTCGGTTTTACACCCTTTTCCCTTCCTTTGTTTTTTTTTTTCGCAATTCTGCTTTGACATTTCCTTTTCCTCGCCCATGTGTCTTTCAGTCTTGGTCGCAAGCCCAGAGAGGATTGACGTGCGATCTTGCCAGACAATAGGAGCGCAGGTTTTAAAGGCCAGACAAAAAATGTTCATTATTATTGCAGCAAATGTAACTGTATAATACGAGTGTACAAAAATATAATGAGAGTTCAATATAGAAATAAACAAAACCGCTGAAAGTCCAAGAAATACGCACATTAATACGAATAACTAGTAAACGTAGAGTGGAAGTGAAAAATGCATTAATCGTGTCCACCAAGAAAGTCGAAGAACTTTGTACATTTACATTTTTTTTTTGCTGATTACAACTAAGTACATAGTATACAATGTTGCTGCTTTATGCCAAATATGCATTGGTTTTTTGGTTCCTCATTGGCAGCAATCAGGGCGATAAGCAGTTAACGCGTCAATTGTCCGAGGATGCGACGTTGCTCGGAGTGGCCGCCTGCACAAAACGCTGTTTGGAGCACGAACATCGGAATATTATATTGTCCCCAACTCTGCCACAACAACAAAAGCCGCAACAACAACAACAACAACAACAACAAAATGACGTGAGTGATCACCGTTTCTCATTTGAATATTTAGATCATTGCTGCGCCACAGACGATCAATGAAGAAACAATTGTTCATTGTTCATGCATCAATTAACTCCATTTGGTTTTCTGTTTGCCTTGGCAGCATTTTGAAAACTGCCTCAAAATTTGTGAAGACAACAACGACATGGTCTGGGTCAATACAACAGTTCCCTCTTCGCGAAAGATCCAAGAAAATTTCCAACTCCAAATGATATGCCGTACCGACTCCAGTCTAATGTTTCGCATTGATTGGGTGGAGTACGGCTGGAGAAATATCTCGGTATTGGAGGATCCCCAAGCAGCACTGCGGGAGAATTCGACTGATGCCTTGTTCATTGTCAAAGTGATTCCTGCAAATATGAATATTGCAGACTCTATCATTTATTTGGTGAGTTCCACACACTAAAATCATCGAATATTCACAACTCCCATATCTATTCCAAATAAAACTCATTTCTTTTTAGACCATTAGTTTTTGATTGAAATATTGGAAAGATGAAAATGAATCAATTGTCAGCTTTTATTAAAAAATCTTTCATGATCAATTTTAATTCATTTCACATTCCATTAACCTTGATGGGTCACCGGTCCAATTCTGTTCCTTGAATGGGAAGTCTTAGATCATTAGTTTGTAATGCATTGATGGAAAATTGGATAAATGAATTTATTCCTTGAATAGGAAGTTTTAGATCATTAGTTTGTAATGCATTGATGGAAAATTAGAAAGATGAATTGATGATGACTGTCTTTATTCATAAATCCTTTTTGATCAAGTATACATTCTTCTAACCTTGATGGGTCGCTGCTTTTGTAATTCCAAATCCGTTTCTTGAATAGGAACGGAAATAAGTTTTGACAACCAAATACAAGAACTGCCGGAGTTTACGGGTTTTACCAAAACCCAAGCGCAGTTTAGAGTTTGCAAAGATGATCAGCATTCTTTAGTAAGAAGTCTTTCTGCAAGGTCTACTGATTTAAGCACACAGTCTGATATACCGATAATGCTATATGGAGATGTCTCGAGTTGAATATTAATCCACATTAAAAGCTTTAAAACCTACCATTAAAACTAAAGGTAGCGAAGGATATGTAATTTTGTCAAAATGAAATAAAGATATTTTATTTTAAACTATTTCGTAGCATTGTTGGATACCCGATAATCAGGCGGATTACTTATTACAAGTCTAAAATTACTTTCCATTTCCAGTCGGATGACAAGTTCATCACAGTTGGCAATCTGACATATAAAACAGCCTACAATATTACAGTTCTGGCCGTGCACGGAAATGGCGAGTACTCCCTCATAGCAAATGAGGAAACGTTTGCCACTCTGCGTCGAAGCTACCAGCCCAGTAAAATGGGTGAAATGAAGCTGCGTCGATTCGTCAAACAGAGTGCCGAGGAGAAACGTATAGCGGCAGAAATCGAGTGGCGGCATTCAGCAGGTGTGTATTTTATTTAACTGTCTTTGGTCGCCCCCAAAATACTTGGTGCTCTCCTTTTCTTTTTTTCAGAACATAATTGTTTCTTTGATATCATTTGTTATTCAACTGACAGCCATAGCATGAGCTTGCCCACACCAGTGGAAATTCGCGATGTAAGTGTTTTTCGCTCTGCTAATGTCTTTTCTACCACTAAGGTCCTTTCTTCCGCAGCCATATCAGTTATATCTGCATACCATTAAGGACATTGAGCTGGGACGACAATACAATGTAGGCATGCGTACTGTGAACCCAAAGAACTCATTAGAAAGCGATATGGATTGGATTGTGTTTCGGGCACCCTCTTGCGTGGATTGGTTCCACTTTAATTACACAATATGTCGTAAGTTTGTGATGTTCTTTGAGGGGATTTAAACCAGAGTTGATTTCGTTAATATCGGTTCACAGCCCCATTGAAGCCCACCAATTTGACTGTGTTGCAGCATCATTACGAGCCAGACAACCTATCCATGAATATAAGCTGGACGCTGCCCCAATATCTGCCTGACAACTACACCCTGTACATACTAGACTTGCATGAGGGCAGAAAGAGTAAATCCTTTCAAATTTCAAAGGTAAATAATATAACCCCATAATTACCACCAAGAACATCTGTATATAAATATCAGTTTTAAATAATACTTTTAAATATCGCTGTGACAGGTAAGTGATATTTTATGTTAAAAACGGCTTTAATTTAATTATTAAGTTGAAGTTCAAAATAGTGGTATTTGGATAAAAGTTAGGCCAATTAAAAAACTCATTATGAATGGTTTTAAAAAAAGTTCCGAAACTTCGTTTCATGAGATTGAGACTTTTGCGAATTACTTAAAAGTTATAATAAAGACATTAAAATTTAAGTAATAGTAAGCTTTAGAACTTGTGAAAAATTGCTTAGAACTACATTTAAATATTGTTTATATAGTAATATAGTTTATTTATTTCATCGACAAACAATGCAGTCGATGCAAAAGAAAAAAATATATATATAAAAAATCAATGCAATAGAGAACTTAAACTAAATAAAACTAAAGAAATAGAAAAGCCTATAAAAATGATAAAAAAAAATAAATATAACGAATCCGACAGACCATAATCTCTTTGTACCCAGGATTTTTTCGAATCACATTCTGCCACAAATACGCTCAAGTTATCACTCAGACATAATTATTATAAGCATTTTCGATAGTCCTTCCTTTTCCTCCTTTGATTATAATTTTTAAAGCAATTTTGGTAGCTGCGCATGGGCGTAGCCAGGATTTAGTCCAGGAGGGGCAAGATTTTTTTGGCCGATTTTTTACTATCAAATGATTTCCACTATACAAAAAACACATGAAAAATATGGAAAAATAGGGAAAAAAGAAATTCAAAATAATGAAAATTTGAAATTTTGAATGCAACAAAATGTAAAAAAAACTTGCTAAAAAATAAGAAGATTTGTGATCGTGGAACTAATATAAATTTGGTCCCGTGCGACATCGAGAGTATAAAATTTAAGAATTTGAAATTTTGTTTTCTTACATAAATGATAAATTATATATACTCGTATATACAAGTACATACGTGTACATACTTTAAAATGATTGAAACCTAGATGAATAACACCGGCTGCGAAAAAAAGAAAGTGGCGTGCAAACGGTTAGAAAAATATGTAATTTTTGATCCGTTCAGAATCTAGAGGGGGGCAGCTGCCCGCTTTGCACCCCCCTCGCTACGGCCAAGATATCGGGTGTGCGACTCTTATTTAAATTAAATGTGTAAAGAAAAAATAAATTAAAAAATAACTGATGAATAGCAAATTTCTCATTTTCATTGAATGGGAGAACAATAATAGTATTGCAATTTTCTTCTGAACTAACTATCTTTTATTTAACTTGAAGGAGGCGTGTTTCTATTACATACCACATATCGAAATACTTGGCGCTACTTTTGAGGTGCACTTGGTGGCTTACACGCAAGGCGGTAGTAATGTTACGGATATATTTCTCAATAAAGTGCCACCAACTGTGTGGCCAGAAGGTGGGAATTGAAAGATACACACAATTGGGTTTTAAAACATAAATATTAGTCCATTCCATAGATTCCGACTACAATAAGCTGGTACTGTTCCTCATTGTGCCCCTTTTCTGCATCATTGGCTTGAGCACTTTCACGATTTGGCAGCGCAAGGCCAAGTTGCGACGTTACCGTCAACGCTGCAAGTATTTAGAGGTATTTCGTAATACTCACGCCTATTGTGCAGCTATACAATATTGTCTGTGGGATTTATAGGCCAAGGAACTGAAATCCAATACAAGACCAACGACTATTCAAGCGAGCGATTTTCATGTGACAATCATGGATAACAGCACTTGCTTAGATGCGCCCCAAGCAGACGATAATCTTGAGCTAGAAGATGAGTTGGAGATCGATTCGCAGGATGTGCTGCTGCAGGATGTTCTGGGAGAGGGTGCCTTTGGGCTGGTGCGACGAGGAATCTTCCAAAAACGCCAAGTGGCCGTCAAGCTATTGAAAGGTGAGCGACACCCAATCGGATGTTTTCATGTGTCTTTATATTCCCCCCTCACCCAATAGACAATCCCAGCGAGGAGGATGTGCAGGCTTTTAAATGCGAAATTAAAGTGCTGAGATCGGTGGGCAAACATCCCAATATTGTGAGCATTGTGGGCTATTCGACCAAGTGTGCGAGCCGTATGATGTTATTGATTGAGTATTGCGGGTTGGGAAATTTACAGAACTTTTTGCGGTAAGTTGAAAGAGGGAGGGGCAAGGGCGTACGCAGCTTCTAACAAAGGGGGAGGGGGAGCCAAAAAATTAAAATTTTGATTAAATAATGCAATGAAAAAACTTCAATAAATCCAACTCAGTTCCATTTTAAGGCGAAATAGTGCGTCATAATAATAAACGTGTGGTCGACTTAATATGCAAAATTTGTTGCAGGGGGGTAACGGCCTCCACTGCCCCCCACCCTGCGTACGCCCTTGGGGAGGGGTTATGTGTGTTGCATGCTACAATAATAAGATTGCATGCAGCGAGGAGTGGAAGCTTCGCCAGGAAGGTAATGCACGCAGAATGCATGATCGACACCCATTTGGACAGACGAGAAAGGACGATCTTGCAGCTCAGCAGGGCACACGCATTGAGGAAATGAACCACTCAATGCACCTTCACCACACATTGGAACTAATTGAGGAGGAAAACGAAGACCTCACAACACATGATGTGACGACCATTACAAATACTGTTGAGACCTACTCGTTGACCGTGCCGAGAAGAGCCAGCCATGCGGCGGACAACAAGTCATATGGCATGCAAGAGGTCGGGAACGGCAAGATAGTTCCAGAACCAGAAATAGAGAATATTGGCACCACTGCACCAACGAGTGCAATGTTAAGTAGAGAGCATGCTGAGAGGTGCAGGTGTCGGGGATCGGGCGCTATGCGTAAAGAGAGCAGCCAAAAGTTTCAGACAATTACGGTTGAAAACAAGGAATATTTCGATACCGAACCGGTGCAAATGGGTATGGGCAGGAAACGAGAACCACTTACTTATGCAGACCTATTGGATATTGCACAGCAGGTGGCCGTTGGCATGGTACAGCTTTTTTAAACTTTCCTAAAATGTACGCATATTCATATTTTGTTCATTTCCTAGGAATTTCTTGCTCAGAACAAGGTCGTTCATCGCGACTTGGCGGCTCGTAACGTACTGATCTCAATGGACCGAACAATCAAAATAGCTGATTTTGGGTACGTTCTTAGAGCGTGTTTTTAGGCCGGCACTACAACAGGTGATTTATTTATTTGCAGTCTAAGTCGCGATGTATACCACGAGAATGTCTATCGGAAATCCAGCGGCGGTAAGTTGCCCATCAAATGGCTGGCATTGGAGTCGCTCACCCATCAGGTTTATACCAGTCAGAGCGATGTGTAAGTAATATTATTTATTTATTTTATTAAGGCTAACAAATAGTAACAGATGAAATGCTAACTTTATGTTTAACGAAGCTCCCTGTACCTCCCTATCCCTTATGTGGTAGGGATTTCTTAGTTTTAAGAATCTTACAAATTCCATATTCTGGTGCGTTCGTTCGATGTTACCAAAGACTTATTTTCTGATTGCTTGTACAATTACAATTTCTAACAAAATGTTCGAGTAACAGAAATTTTTAGTTCAGCATGTCGAAATATATGATCGAGATTTACAAGTAGGTATCACTATGAGGATCAATCTTAATATATTGAAGTTTTTAATATATTTTTTAATTTACATTGAGGTTTGCCGTTAATATCTGTGTTAGATTTATAACACTTTGTGCTGTAATGTTAGAGAATTCGTTTATATGGTGATCTGGTATCCACATCACTTTAAGTTTAGAGAAAAGGCCTAATAATATCATTTGTTTATGTTACCTTTGGCGTTAATAATTGAAAGAGAACGTGTTCGTATGCAGAATTTCACTTTTCCTGGACACAGAAGGATATTCTAGCTTACATTTCAGCAATGTTACGTCAATAATTATTTTGTGATTTAAAGACAGAAGAGTAGTTATTAGCAGCCCCCATTTAAGAATACTAGTGGAACGTAAAGTATTTTTAAAAGAAAGAAAAAAAATAGAAATAATAGCAGTAATTGTAAAATCCAAAGTATTATTTCTGTTCTATACTTTGTAATAATTTTAATCCGAATCTGAAATGCCTAAAGGGTTCAGTAATTAAAAAATACGATAGATAACTAAACAATACTTGCACATAACAATTCGTAGAAGTTTCACAACATTTTATGAGCAGTTGCATAATATTCTTAATTACTTTAGAAAATGTTATCCTGTGCTCTGCTAAAATGTTCGAAAATGAACAATTTTAAACTGTTTCAATATCAAATATTCGGATCCCCACTGGCTTAGATAAGTTGATTAGCCGCATGTCTGTTCCTATTTATTTTTGACTTAAAAAACATAAAGCACTGTAGTAACTTATTTTTTTTTAAATAGTTCTTATACAAGAATGCTGTTGTTTTTGGAAATTCCTTATATGTTTCTAGTGATTTTCTTTTCGATTTCTATAGTTCTATAGAATAGGGGCAACTATTTAACTCTCCTGTTCTTTTGTATCAGAAAAAATGCTTTTTAACGAATGTACAAGTATAACTATTAAATTATTTACCTTTGTATCTGAAACACCTCTTGAAGCTGGTCCTTTGGAGTGCTGCTCTATGAGATAACAACATTAGGTGGCATGCCCTACCCATCGGTGGCACCCAGCGACTTGCTGCAATTACTGCGCCAGGGACAACGCATGAAACGACCGGAGGGGTGCCCGGATGAAATGTATAATGCCAATTATTATTATTATTATAATTATATTATATAAAATCTGTACAATCCCACTGCAGGTTTGCCTTAATGGAGAGCTGCTGGTGCTCCATACCCGCCCAACGGCCCACCTTCACAGGCATAAAGCATCGCCTGACTGCCATGATATTGGCCACTGGAGCGGTGCCGCAACGTCAGAAACAACAGCAACAACAGGAGGCCAATAAACAACGAACTCTACAGCAAATGTGAGCATTTTTGGGGCTGTGCTTTCAAATTTGTCAAGTCCTAAGATATTATTTCCTTTTATCCTAGCAAAATGCAACAGCAGGCGGGCGGCGACGAGGGTCACTATTTGCAGCCACTGGAGTAGTAAACAGATTCTTAGATTCCACAATATTATATATTTTTTTTAAGATCCATCGTTGTGTCTATCTGGGAAATGAAAATGATTTTCTTCATTCGTTTTTATTTGTTTGTACATACGAGTATTTGTATCTGATTTAAGTCTTAAATTTATATATATACCATATAGTATATGTTTGTATTTAATTTGTTTATATTAAGTTTGTGTGTAAGCTTGACGCAAATGTTACAAATAACGCGAATTTTATGATGTACTGTATATGGAGAGCAAAATATAATTATAAGAGAATCAAAATAGTTTATTATTAGACGTTTTAACTGGGAGGATAGGTAAAAGGGTAGTGATCTTTCACATCGACGATCTTCAGGTCTCTGAAGTAGTTCAATTGTTGACGTAAAACCTACGAAATAATTATTTTTGATCTAAGATATTCCTTATCATAGTACATCATGTACATAGTACATCATAGTATCATAAACTAAATATTTTTTTACCTAATCTATCAGGTGGATATTTATTTCATTTGTCATGAGCATAGTTTTTTCAAATTTTAAAAGGTCCAGAGAAACAAAATTGTATAAAAGTTGTTTTTTTAATAACAGAGCTTCAAAATGTGCATACACTGCTGCAATATGCGACAGATCCCTTGTGATCCTATACCCTATGTCTGTTCGGAATGTCCTGTGAGGGCGATTGCGCACGGCTGCAGGTTGGAGTCTCCCCGGAGCAACGGAGACACATGTCTGTGTCGCAAGCCCCACAAACGCTGGCTGCAAATAAATAGTCGACTGGTCTCCAATTTAGCCGAACGTCTGAATTGCTCCACCAAGACGGTGCATGTGATGCTCTTCCACTTGCTCTTCACCAATTACCTCGATTGGGTGCGCATTGTCCGAAGGCGTCGGAGCTTTCAATTGTCGTTTGTCAAGAACTTGGAAGCCGACTTTGAGTGCTTTTTGGATAAGAGGGGAAATGTGACGAGTCCGTTGGAGCCCTTTATGATAGGAGCGCTGCTCCTCATGATCCAGAATTATGTGCGCCATGTACGGCAGCTAAATGCCAAGTATAAATGGTATAATAATGGCATCGACGATGGGAAGGTCCTTGAACTGCTGGGTCCCCAGGATGTGCTGGTCAAACTCACGAAACATATACCGGGTAATGAGAAGGGTCTGCTTTTGCAAGCCATCGATGAAATCAAGCTGGACACTATGTTTGGCAAGCATCAGCAAGTTAGGAGAAAACCAGATGTGTGCAGGAGCATATCAGATTTCTATTCGGTCACGGCGGCAGAAAGAAATGCGAAAATGTTACCGAAACGTTCCTACAGGGATATTACAGGTAAACTGTCAAGAACACGATGCGATTGGCGACGCATTTAAATACATTTAAGCCTTACGGGGTGTATAAGCTGTTGAACTCATGGCGGCAAATGCTAAGCACCTGATGCTTCCCCATTGCCGCCAGACGCTCGGCACGTGTACATTTTGCGGATTTGTTACTAAGAAATTGGAAGGTGCTGAAGATTTACACCTAAAAGCTTTTGAATGTTTCCAATAAATTGCGAAAGAGAAGTAAAAACTGAACTTAAAAACTTACTTGTTCTAATTACCCGAACAATCAAAACATCCACTTGTTGTTTGCCAATTTTAAGCCAATGTTGCAGCTACGTTGGATACTAAATTCTCGCTTTCTTAATTAACAAATGAAGTTAAATATATACATTTATAAACAATATAGTAGCCAGCTTGAGGTAGATTGTATTTCGTCATTAGTTTGGTCGCTTTGTGCGCAGCATACTTAAATTGTTCATTTCATATAAATTAAATGCGTGTATAAGCATTTATAATTTTCACTCTAAAATTTTCAAATGTAGCTATACACCTCTATAGCACTAATTTTGCTGTTGGCACGATCCCTGATCATCCATTCACTCGAAACTGCCTGTCTATAGGTATAACCTATCTGCGTATTGGAAATTGAATAAAAGTGCAATATACTATACGTAGTATATTAACAAGTCGTGTGATTTAGATTAAGAAACACATAAAATTTAGCCCCTTAGTGCAACAAAATATTAAATACAATATTAATGTACAAAGATCTTTGTATATATTTAGCCATAGCATTTGAAGTGCTCATCCCCTCTAGTTTCGATTGTAGCCCAAACCTAAAATGTTGCGCGCCTACAAACAAAAATGGGATTAGTGTAAGATATGGATTTAATTTCGATAGCAAGAATGCTTACTGTTATGAATGCCGAGTTGAAGGACCGTTGAAACGTGTGCGTCATGCCTTCGGTTTGTGCGAGCATCATTTGTAATTGAACCGCCTCATCCATCCGATTCTTAAGAAACTCCCATGTGTTGGTATGCGATGGCGATGTGTCCTGCAGCATATAGAGCTCGGTCATCTTTAATATGGTAGCCAGACCGATGCGTCGCGTATACCAGCCGAACTGCAGAAAAAGCAATAATTAGTAACATTTAAAAAAATTAAATTTTGAAGACACAGGCCTCAGCACAGGCCTAAAGCAAATAAAACTTTTTTAAGCAAGTGTAGAATATTTATAAAAAGAATAAAAAAAACAATAAACAAAACTGTAATAAGAATACAATAAGCAACATTTTCATCGGAGTTGCGTCATTGTATGTCTTTAACTTTCTTTATCAGGACGAAACTACATAAGCACAACCGGTTTTAATTGTCTCTGTAATTTAGGTGTTTATACAAATGGAGTTATGTAAGAAAAAACGAATTACGGGAGAGTGGGTGTGCATCTGTGCACAAAGTTTGTTGTCTGTATCCTTTATAGTCTCTGGGATCTAAGTGTTCGGATACATATGCTCTTGTACCTTTCAGGTACGTAGTATAAAAAGAAAAATTATTAATCATTAACGAAGAACATATATGTAGATGCTAAGTAAAAATATCAGAATCATGGATGAGGGAAATTCTAATGGCATATATACGAAGTAATGAGGGATGTTTAGGGATACCCTAAATGTTTCCGTTGAAAAGATCTCAATACAAAAGAACGGCCTGACAGACCCTTCGTGCAGGGCATAGCATTAGTTTTCCTTGTTTACTTACATCTACTGAGCGATCGCCGGAATAGTAGCAAATATCATCGACTAACGTTAGAACCTGGGCTAGAGCTGTGGACGCATGCTGTGGCTGCGCAATAAGCGCCATAGCTTGGGGCCACTGTTGCTTGTACGGCACAATCATCTCTAGCCTATGGCGGACGGCCTGGACAAGAAAATCAAGCGGGTTTTCGATCTCTCGCTGGCCATTGTCTGTCTCGCCTTGCAGGTGCTTTAACAGTTGGGCGTTGCAACGACCATTGAAGTGGGAGACCAGGGCAAAGCCGCCTTCAGGAAACATGCCGTGCACTGCACTTGGATAGCCGCATTCCTCGGCCCCCTGCACAATCGCATTTCGCGTCCAACCGTGCTGTGGCACGTGCTGCAAAGCGGCGTCTAAAATTTTGTTGCGCACTTCATCAACTTTGGCGCGTTTAGCTGTTTGCTCCTCCTCGTCTTGAGTGTCGTGCTCTTTGGTCTCTTCTTGCTGTTTAATCTCGGCCGCATCACGTTCCCGTTCACGTTGCTCCTCGCGTGAACGAAACTCATCAACGCCTGTTTGCGCGGTGGCTCCGTCACCGGATTTGCTTGTGTCCTTGGCATAGTTGCGTGTCCAAACCCTGCTCTGTGTCTGTGGGTGGCTTGGCTTTACTGTGTGAAAGTGTGCATTATGGCCACAATGCTGGGCTGCTAGAAATAATCAGAAGAGGTTGGTCGTAATAATAGTATCGAAAGTATTGCAGACATGAGCGATAAATTAACAGATGCGCGCCAAGTTTGTGTGCGGCCTTCAAAGTCGGTCATAGAAAGCAACAGTTGTTGTGCTTAACAACTACAGATGCGCAATAAATTAGCGTAATTAACATTTAACTCTGCCCTACCCGCTCCGGACTGCCCCAGTGTCGCTTTCGATCGCATTTGTCAGTCACGGCCAGCCGGGTAATTAACACATAACGACAGATATGCCAAAACCCAAACCAAAATACGTATGAGATGAAAACCACATCGTTAGTCATTCTACTTATAATATGTAGAACTTTTTTGTATTTTAGTAAAGATGTATTCTCTACCCTACGATTACAATTTTTGCTTATGGCAGTAAACAAGCATACATATGTATATTAGATGAGTAACCTAATTTCTTAGACCTCCGTTTGCTTTCGTTTGCGGCTACTCTGCTCCAGGCACTCATTGGTACGCAAATATAAATAGAGTAGCTGTTCGAGGCTGGTTATGGAGCTGCCGAGAACTTCAAGTTTCTGTTTCTGTCCAATGTCGGGCATTGTGCTATCGCCCTCGCCCGCTACGCCACTGTTTGTTATTTTCATGGAGAGCATATTTAATTGTTCCTTTATCATAGCATCATCCGAAGCACTTTGACCGTTCACCACGCGATCCTTGTACGCTTTGTAGTGTGCGAGGGAGAAATCTAGAGCCTTCCCCAGTGGCTGCAACAGTTTTATCTCAATTTCGGGCATCACATTCCAGAACCCTGTATGATTAAGCGTGTCCCTCAGCGCAAAGTATCGTACAATATTTAGAGCACTGTTTAAACGGTCGGCATTCATTAGGAGATCCGATTTCACGTCGTTCGGCAGACAACACACGCTTAATAGTAGCATGCTCCGGAACTGTGCTCCATGATAGACCTCTGGCAGCGTTTCATTTTGGTTCAATGCCTGGTTCACCAGATCCTTGTACATACTACTCAGGTAGCCCATTAATCCGTCGTGTTGAAGTGTCTCCAGTAAATTCTTTATTATGAAATACTTGCCAGAGTGCCCAAAGCTTAATATATAGTCGCGGAGAACACATAATCCCAGCTGGCGTAGAGGCACTTGCGGCGAGTAACCAACGATACTGCACAGAGCCATACAGAAGCGCTTGTGCACCTCCATCTGGAGGGATGCCTCTGGTATTTCAACAGTTAATTCGCTCACTAGATGTTCGATGAGACGTAGGCCGGAGAACTGAAGCGGGGGCTCGGTCTGCTCCAATAGTACGGCCCCCAGATAAATGCCCGCTTCCAACAGGAAAAGTGATGAGTATACTTTGGGTGCGTTAGGGGGCAACAGGTTGCCCACAAAGAGCGCGTGATAGTACATGCCAAGAGCGTGAAGCGGCAACTTCTCTTCAATGAGAAATACATTCTGGCTGCTCATCTCGAAGACTCCCTTAGCAGCGTCGAGTTTTCGCTGCCAGCGCGCCCGTTTTTCTACCAAACCTAGCAGATAATAGGGATCTCCTATGCACTGCGTAACGTGTTCTGTTAGGCTCTTCACAATTTGCTGCACATACGAGACGGTCATGTCCTTTTTGACGTAGCTAAGTTCTAGCAGTGCTAGTGGTTTGCCCAGTAATTGAATCAAAAAGCATGTTAATATGTTCCGCCTGCTCATGCTGCAGTCTCGAAATGTTTGGCATGCGCCTGTGGGCACATCTTTTACAGCAACATCCGTTAGAAGGGGCTCGAGGAAAAGCTCTACTGTGATGTAATGCGCCAGCAAATCTTCCACCTTCGGATCCTGTTCGAGGAGGCGAGCTTGGTCAGCATCATATCCCTCACTCAGATAAGCGGGCAGCGGCAGTTCTTGCAAGCGCGTAAACACTGAATTTAAACACCACTCTAGGGCCTGAGGTTTCTGGTTGCCATGACGTAACAGCACTACTTGCAGCGCACGTATGTAAGCCGAAAAGACAGCCTGGCTTCTGCTCTCTTCTATTCTCTCCATCAGCTCCAACATGAGGTCCTCCAGCGGGGCGTAGTCGGCAAGCAATTTGAGCAACTCATTGCTACAATCAAACAGTTCTGGGTCATCGCTATTAATTTCATCATTAAGACTGGGAAAGCATATTTCATTGTAAATGTCCATTGCGATGGCAGGCATGAGGTGCAAGTTTTTGGCGCATTTGCTGGGATCGGGCCCGTAGAAAAGCATTTTTACTCCATCGTAGGCCTCTTCAACTATCAGCTGCCTTATTAATTTTAACAGATTGTCGGCCGCGTCTGCTTCGCAAACTGGCTCCATGGTGATACTTTTATTAAGTTTCGTTATATTTATGTAATAATTTTGACACTTTTTAATCAAGAAAAATATAAAATTTATGAGTGAAAACCGGCACAGACTGTGACCTGCTAGAATGGAATCACAAAACAGCTGTTCACAATGATGCTTTCGTAATGGTTGCGAAACTTTGTGGCGCGAAACCTGACACTCCTGAGCGGTAACAGGTGAACGTTTATATGAGGTTTACTTACTAAGAGGCAGCACAAATTTTTGTAACCGAAATAGTTTTTGCAAACACCGTACATTTGCCATATTTGCGCTCCGAACGTCAATAACTAACTAATAATTCTTCCTCTTCGCTTTGCCAACCAGCGCGAGAAACCAATTTTAGGGCTGGACAAGAATGAGCCATTTAACAACACTGAAATGTGGCCCTGCCAGATCAAAAGATATGTACAAATTAATTATTGTGGCTACTTGGTTAGAGACCACTTTGGAGTAATCTACCTTGATTGTTGTCTTCTAATGACATAGATTTCTAATTGAAATTGAATTTCTATAAATAAATAATTTGTTCTGAACTACTTAGAAATTCAGTTTTGCCGCCTCATATTTTTTAGAGATGGTAGCAAAATTAGTCTGGTAGCACGCAAAAAACTCACGAAGCTGTATTAAATAAATATAATGCGAATAACTAATGAATATATCGGTAACATTCACTAAAATGTGCCAATACATATTCCGTATTCATATCAGTAGTAAAATTAATCATTTAATGTTCGTGACTTAAAAATAATATAGGCACGCACTCATCCTTATGAAAAACTTGCAGGTAGGTCGACATTGTTCATCCCTAGCACCAGCAGTCTTGAAGAAATTGTCAGTGGTTGCGGGTGGCGTGTACGCACCGCGAATTTTATTCATTATTTATTCGGGCAAAACAAAATAGTCAATAAAATAAGTGAGCAACATTAAGTTAACTAAAAGCGTACGGCTTGTGGGTGTGTAAGCTGCGATTCACCGAAAGTGTTCATTTGTTGTTATTATTGGCATCAAAATTTCGCACATACTCGTATATAGACATATGCGGCGGCAACAAGGCATTGAAACGAAAACGTATAATCAAAATCAAAGCGGCAATTAAAAATTATTCTTAAGATAAAAGTTAACATAGTGTTTTAATCGGCGAAATCATTTAAAATCTAAGTTCAAGTATTGTTTTCGTGTCTCGGTCTCGCACAACTCGAATTTCCCGACGAGGGTGGAAAACCGTGAAAAGTGTTTTCGCCTGTGTGTGAATGTGTACATGTGTGTATCGAATAATGTGAAAAACCTTGCCAAAGAATAATAAAGAAAACGAAAACAATGTTTAAACAACAATTTAATGCATTCCTTGCACGATAAGTGTAACTCAGTCGTTGCAACAAACCAGCGCACGCACGCACACATATAAACACAAAAACAAAAAGCAGGCACCAGTTTTGTGCTGCAAGGCGAGGCGTGTCAGGATTGAAACGACGTTACCATCGCTGTAGTCGTTGCCACTGCCACAATCACACAGCTTTGAGCCAAATTTTTTGGCCCTTTACTTGTGCACAGCAGCATAGCACGCATACACATACACCTAAGCATACACTGCTGGTTATTCCTGTTTGACTTCATTTTCATTCGCGCCGCCCGCTGCCAATTTGGAGCTACTTTCGCCTCATAAGCATACATATAACATACAACAATTTTTTGGCAAGCAAAATGTCGACGCGCTCGCAATTAACGAAGGACTTAAATGGTAAGTAAGACCCCACATTCCCCCTACCGCCTTCCGAACAGTCCGTGCAACCACTGAGCTGTCGGCTTTTTGTTTTGAACGCGCCCATGACAAAAATGCATAAAGCCGCAAGTTGCAACTGCATCCCTTGCCGGGTTTTAAAAAAATATTTTTCATTCCACTTCTTTTTATTGCTTCCTTGCACATTCTTTGCCGTTTGCCCCCCGGCTTCCATTGCTTCAATGCGACACGTTTCCTCCCCCAATTCTGCACTGAATCTTAACAGAACAGTTTGGCAACAGCTGACAGTTTGCAGTGCCTCTAGAACTGTTTCCATATTTATACAATCTACGCTATCTTTACTGCTACCATCATATTTCATTAAGTTGAAGTTCATTTACTGTGGCAAGACAAATGCAAATGCGAAATTATATATATTAATTTATATATATATTTCGGGAAAAATGCATAAGTAGAAAACACTGGCCACAGCTTTTACTGCTGACCTCCACAAGTAATGTGCCAATAATTTATGCCGATGAAATAATCTGTTAAATGTATGTATATACCTACACAATTTATATGTTCATATGGTATTTATATACACATGAAAGTGTTGTGTGGAAAAAGAAATGTTAGTCACACATTTAAATATCAATGGTGAAATTTTATATTCAGTTGTAAAGTAGTAGCTTTTTATTTTATTGTATAAGTTGTGTATTAGTATCTATGAAACTTATATCTGATAGTTGGACAGTTTTATCCATTTGTTTGGCATTCTGAATAGATTGCTTTGAACAGTTCAGCATAGCATACCGGAAATCAGTTAACGCTTGAATTCCGGCACGGCCACGAAAAGCAATGGGCGTGAAATCCAGCTGACAAAACCAACAAAGTCGTATAAAGTAATAACTAGCAGGGTGGTGATGCATACTCTGGATGTCCATTTTCATTTTATTTAACTGACAACTGTGTTCTGTCTGATGCGCAATGGCAATTGCAATTTTCCGACAAGTTTGCTTCTTACTTAACATCCGGTACTGTTGTTGTAGTTACTGTTACGGCCATTTTCCATCTCCACTAATTTGATTTGAGTGCAATGACAGGCCCTGTTCACGTCCTGTGCCCCTGTGCAACTGTTTGTTGCTGTTCCTACTGTTGACACATAATTTTTTCCTGCACTTCTTCGTTCCGTTGCTGTGTTAATATTTGCATTTGTAATTGTGACGATCGTGTATGATGTAACATAGCAATGATGTTGCTGTTATTGTTGATGTTAACGCTGTATGTTCAGTGCCCTTAACAGACATTTTGCCATGTTGCTGTTAATTAGCATTTTCTAATTACATTAAAACATAACTTGTCTAATTTATTCCCTTTCTCCAACAACTAACTGCAAATATTTGGGTCGCTGCCGCTTCAATTTGATCATTTGACAATTTTATTTATATCCCCCATTATTTTTGATGTTATTGTTGTTGTTGATGTTGTCTCGCTGCAGCTGTTAAAGCTTCTGCTGTTGTTGCAGTTGGCGCCCCCATTTATGTGGGAATAGCATTTGAAACGAAAAACTTTATCAAAATAAAGTATATGGTGTTGCTGTCTGCTGCCTACCGCCAGCACCGTCATATTTTTCTTCCGCCTCCCTTCACCCCATCAATTTGTACCCTCGCATGGCCAGGGAAGAGTCAATTGGACCTTATTCTTATAAAAACGAGAGCGACAGCCTGATTTATTGTCATTGGCAGGCGGCGTACGGTGTACGGCTTATGTGTATTTTTGTTTCCATTGCGCAGTAGGCTTAGCGTTTCTGCCACCTGCTGGTTATGCACTATTCCATAGCAACAAACATTCCCATTAATTATCTAAGGAAGCGTTACTTATCAAGTTCCAAAGTACATAGCACTTGTATATACTAGCCTAATATGGTTTATTGATTTAAATAGTGCTGACGAGTATTTTTTAATTGAATGGATTAATTAATTGTAGATAACTATATATACATACAAGTATATGTATGTACTTACTTAAGTACTAAGTATATGTACCTCCATTAAATTCCAAAATATATAGCATAAAAAAACACTTACTACATCTTTTTATAAACTGAAAAAATTTAGTTTCAATATACACCTCATTCTGTTTTTTTACACGATTTAGATATAACACGGTTTGAAAATTAAAAATTTCATATATATTTCTTTAGAGATACGGAATCAATCACCTATTTTTGCAAATCTTTTTTGCTGATCTTTTTTTACTCGGTTGTTTCTGGAACCAATCTACCGTGTGAAAACAGAATTAGGTGTATATATATTTTAATTTGGACTGTATCTTTTATATGAAATAATATAACGTCGAGGTGAACTAATCGATAATTTGAGTGTCGGGCTCTGTTTCTGCTTCTCGGTTGCGATAATAATATATCAGTATTTAACCCAAAATTATTCTTAACTAATCCATCATTTTTCAAATTTAAAATTGATTATGCATCTAGCAAACCCATTTTATTTGTTCAAAAAGTAAAATGCCCATAAAAAAAGTGCCCTTTAAATGTTGGATTGGCATACGATTTGGTGACCCCCTGGTGGTTTGCGATTCGTCTCTCCCCATAACTACAAGGATGACACCCACTCTCTCTCCCACACACACATGGCGCTTTGAACTCTCTTTTTCTTCGTCGCTGAGACTCTAGCGATAAGCACTTGAGGCACACGCGCTGATAACGCCCCAGCTGAGTAGAAAAGATAGGCGAGGCCGCCGTTCTCGAATGAATGAGTTACGGCCAAAAGTGCTCACAGTGCTGAAATCGACGATGGGCTTTCTGCCTGTCAGGCATTATTGCACTTAGTTTTGAACTCGCATTTACCGTTGTAATCGAACTCGGTTCGAATTAAAGGCCATTGTGAAGTTGAATGCTGCTGTTGTTCTCTTTGTTGCTTTAGCAGCGCATTATTGCTTTTTAAACTTTGTGTTGAGTTGTGTTTTTTTTTTCGCATGGCGTTTGCTTCTAAAATGTACACGAACGAGCTGATGAATCACATTGATCAATATCTGAGGCGCATTATAGAGCTGCAGTTATGTGATATTGTTAAGAAGACTAAAGACAAAGGTGAGCTGCATTTTAAGCACATTTGTTTACACACATACAGCGCATGATTACACACATACATATATGTACATTTATACATGTATATAGTACATATGTACATATGTATGTACAGACACGCAGAACTGGGCTATGCGTCACGGGCTGACTTTGCCGCTATTACAAACACGCAGACACACGCATTTACATAAGCCATATGCACTTGTCTGCTTACAACTATGTGTTAATAATAAGTAAATACACTATACACGCACATACATACATGTATGTATGTAATATGTGTATCTTTACGTTCTTATGTGTTAGCTGCACGTATTTTGTAAGATTTTGCCTGTCTGGCCACAGACCCCCACGTCCAATTCGCACTTCATAAAACGTTCAAATGGCCGCACCTTTTTCAACGGAAATGTGTATTATTGTTGTACTCGTAGTGGTTTTTATTGTTATTATTATTGGTATATGTGGGGCGGTTGATTTCTCCGTTTGTTTGGCTCGTCTTCAAAAGCTTATCATCGGCGGCAAAACTGTCGACAGCGTCGGCAGATACCGCAACATGCTGAGCGGAAAATCTTTGCACTGGTTCTAATTGTTGTAATACTGTTGTGTGTTAATGCAATTTGTAATGAATTGTTTGCTCTTTGAGAAGCACTGCACTAGTCTAAACAAACGAAAGTGTGTGTAAGTGGGTGATCAACGATTTACACATTGCTTGTTGACCTCACTCGCTTGTCTTATTGAAATATCGTATCAAACTAGTTTCGAAAAAATACAACAAAATTATGCAAACATTTCCGACTTCGTTTTGGCGCCGGCATTTGTTGCTCTTTTGATGTTGCCTGAAAGTGTGAGAAAATTCACAGCGCATGCAAAACTATTTTTATTCAAATGGACTGTCATGAAGATAACTGTGGGCGCTGTTGACAACAGTGGATGGGAAACGGAGGAGGGGTCCGTCGATTCAATTGAAGGCCATCTAGCTTTTGCATATGCATTAAGTAAATATATGTATACATATTATTTTGTGTATCTATGTATGTATGAATGTAGGTTTATTGTCATATATATCTTCTGTCCCAATTTCCCATGCATACATATAATCAATCAATATGCTGCTGCAGCAGCAGAATTGGAACTGAAAGAGAGTTGCCCTAAATAGAATGTCTTACGCCCTGTCGCTCTCAATTGGCAACTGACCTCTCAGCCTGACCTACTTGTTAAGTATTTATTGCGCTCAGAGCTAATAATAATATCTCCGTGCGCTAATGACGCATCATTTTGCACCTAATTGCAATGGTGTGCATATTTAATTGCTAGATTTGAATTCACCTGCTGCGCCTGCTGCATCACTCTCTCCGCTAATGCTCTGTTCCAGTTTCGTTTAGCACCTTGTGGCTGATTGCTCCAATTTTACAGCATGCTGCTGCCATTTATAGTGAGCGTTCGTTGGTGGTTGCGTTTATCCTGAGCGCCTCATTATTTCAGCATTTTGCATGGGATGGGACAGGCAGAACGGTATGTTGGTATCATTGGAGCCACTATTGCGGCCAGTGGGCGCATTAAATGAGCAGCTGTTGAGCCCAGTTGACTGCTCTGATTTTCTTCGCCTTGCCTAGGTCTCGTCTGGTCTCGTCTCGCTTGGTTTGCCTTTGCCACTGAAACGCGTTTCAATTAGAACGCATCGACAGAGCCACCGCACTAAACACAATTTGGGGAGACGAAAGTTGGCAGCAAGCTTCACTGCACAGAACTAGTTTGACAGCATTATGGCACACACACACACACACACACACACACACACATACATAGGTACATAAAACAACGCAGAATTAATAGAGCTGCCTCAATCCAAAACTACTCCATTTTCACCGACTCTGCCTGGGGAAATGGTGTCATCAAAAAATGACGTTAATGA